TTAATAAAATTAAACAACGAATATTAGTCGATCAGAACATTCAAGAAAACGTTAATCTTGTGTCATCGTCGTCAAAATTATTGTTTTGTTAAAAAAGCTTTGAACGAGCACAATATTTAAATTTGTAGATTTGTTAATTAAAAACGAGAATATAGATCCAGAATTTGCAATTTCGGAAAAAGTGCACCTTATCTTGTAATATTTGTAATTGAAGATGAAAAGCTTTTTTATTAATTGTAATACATACCAATGTATTTGAAAAGAATGATAAAATGAAATGTATACTATTGGGGCACTTAGAAAACGTTCACATTGTAATGAACAGCAATTCCTCAACATTATAGAGAATATCTTCCTCACTCATTAAAATTGTCTTGATCTACGTAAAAAAACGTCAATACAATTGTTGTTAGAACTTATAGGAATTTTGGAAGACCAAAGATGTTTATTTTTATTTATAAATACCCACCAAATATAGCGGTTAAGTATTATTTTACAATGATATATGTTTTTATATGTTATATAGGCATTAACCATCATCACACGTAATTCTATAAACTTGGTGCATCCGCCTTGGACGCTCTTTTGTGGATTTACCTTCATCAAGAATACACAAACCCCAACATTTGAAAGGCTGCTAGCGAGTGGCTGCTAGCTTGAGCCTAGCCATTTGAAAGCCAATGATTTATGAATAATCAAATACTTGACGAGTTATCTGTATACGACCAAAAGGAACCTAAAAGAATGGGCAAATCCACCTACTTAGGGGAGACCTTGTGGATTGGGAACATAATTTTCGTAATAATTTCTAAATTTATCAACAGAGAATTAGTATTATTTAGTATTCAGAGACCAAATGACGTAAACATTAGCAATTACAGGCTACTGTACGGCCTTCAACAATGAGCAAAACCCATACACAAGATATGTTATATATCATGTAAGTATACCGAAGCACTGACAACTAAGCTAGTTAGTATAGGTAAGTTTTATTTAAATTCGGCATATGTATGTAAATAATAACAAACCATATAGCATTAACTCTGGTAAGTTCTTCAACCAGCTATCACATAAACATCACTCAGTTGCATGCTTAACAAAAAATCAAAATGTACATGCAAATTTAAGGAAATCATTTCAAGCCTTATTCTGAACCTCTACAGTCAATGCCCATGAGGAAGGGCCTCGCTGTGCAATGACTGAATGGAACCAACAATAACTAAAATATAACTAATTAAAATACTTACAAACTATATATTTGCTACAACTCATTTAATGCCTTCTTCTCTAATGAGAAAAGTAAATATGCTAGGTATACTTACTGGAGGTGAGATGAGATGATTGAAGCTATGAATTTTCTCCTTGAAAATATGTATGTACGTTTCGGCAATAAAGTTTATCGACAGGTTGTAGGTATTCCTATGGGCACCAATTGCGCCCCTTTAATATCAGATTTGTTCTTGTACTGTTATGAATCACAGTTTATGGCCAAACTCAGTAAATACCCGTCTAAATTGCATTTAATTGATAAATTCAACAACACTTATCGTTATTTTGATGATATTTTTTCGTTAAATAATCAAGAATTTTCTAAATACACTGCGGAAATTTACCCAAAGCAACTTACTTTAAATAAATCAAATATAAACGGTAATAACTGTCCTTTCCTAGATTTAGATATTTCACTATACACGGGAAACTACACTAATATTTACGACAAAAGGGACGATTTTTCGTTCCCTTTTGTTAATTTTACTTTTTGGGCGGTGGTGTTCCTTTGGCACCATCTTACGGTGTTTATATATCACAACTCGTTCGCTATGCCGTGTCTGTAGTGACGTTTTGGATTTCAATGAACGTAATATATGTATAACTGGTAAATTATTAAGTTAGGGATTTTGTTACCACAAATTACTTAAAAATTTACTGAATTCTTCCATATGTACAGATATTTGGTTTGGAAGTTTGGCTGTACCTGTAGAAAACCTATTTCAAACGGGATATCACATCCTAATTCTTTACGGAGATGTTGTTTACCGAGCACGGAAATTGAGATACGATCCGGGTAAACTTATCGATCCTTTAAATAAACTTATTCTAAAAGGTTACCAATTCAACACTATAATTAGATCTTTGAATATTGTTTTTATTGGTATTAATATTGATTTTGTTATCAGTAAATTAAAATCAAACTAAATATTATTTTATATACATATGCATATTCATGGCTCTACAATCTGTCGATACCAGTATCTTGGCATTGCACAAGGTCATATTTTTCTCTGACTGTTAATGACGTCTTTACACTAAATCCATCGGATGTTGGATGTGTACTGATTGATATTTTAGTCTTAGATGCTTAATTTTGTGTATTAGTTGTTATTGGCTTTGAACTAGCTGTCAGTAACTCGGGGTTCACTCATATCTGCACTTAGTGTCTTTTTGTGGTGGGGATGTATAAGTACCCTGCCACGTCCACTCTGTTTTTGTTAGATGTATTTCTGCTTTGTATCGATCTGATGAGTTAAGCCCTTTTCACTTATAGTTTGTTCTTATGTTGTACTGTTACACCACGGTCCCAGGTTAGGGGAGGGTTGGCGCGCCTTCAACAAGTTTAACCCCGCCACATTCTGTATGTGCCTGTCCCAAGTCAGGAGCCTGTAATTCAGTGGTTGTCGTTTGTTGCTGTATATCATATTTGTTTTTCGTTCATTATTTTTATACATAAATCAGGCCGTTAGTTTTTTCGTTTGAAATATTTTACATTTGTCATTTCGAGGCCTTTTATAGCTGACTATATGCAGTATGGGTTTAACTCATTGTTGAAGGCCGTACGGTGACCTATAGTTGTTAATTTCTGTGTCATTTGGTCTCTTGTGGAGAGTTGTCTCATTGGCAATCATACCACATCTTCTTATTTTTATATAAAACGCGTATAATAGAATCAAACATTAAAAAATTAAGCACTGGCATTGAAAAAAAACTGCTTTATATATATAAATATAGTAAAACAAAATTGCAGAGCAAAAGACCAGAAAAGGGAAGAAATTACGTATGGGAGTCTGAACTGCATAAACAGAAACGACATGAACTGCCTTTAGATTTTGGGAAAAACTAAGAACTTATACTTATTTAATATAAAAATAAAGAGATGCGGTATGATTGCCAATGAGACTTAAAGTTAAAACCAATTTCAGTATAGAAAAATATCTAATTTTAATTAACCGTCGTTTTGAGCAGAATAGAACCGTTACAAAATTCGGCACATCAGTTCATAGACTCTTGATAGAACGGTCGAGGTTCTGCTAGGATACTAAAGTACCGTATTTGAAGTGAATATTCACTTAATGAAGTAGAGGACGAGATTCATGTTTTATTCTCCTGTCGTAATCATATACACAGCATGCACAGAAAAGGAAAACAGATAGACCTATTAAATTTTTAATCTTAGATATCTGAACAATTTTTTTTTATTGTATGAGCGTGACAAATTAATTATGAAGATATTCCTAACTTTGCCTGTCTTGATAGTCAGTTCATAAAAAAAATGATTGAAACGCAGACCTCCGGTATGCTTGGGAATATTAAGTATGCTGTCGTTGACTGACGTATAAAAAGTATTAATAATATCGAAAAATACCGAACTTCAAGGCAATTCCAAAAACGGGAAGTCCGCAAAACCTGACAAAATCAAACTATATACCAATCAACGGAACGAATGGAAAACAACTGTCATATACCTGACTTAATTGGTACCGTTTTAATGCATTTTCCGAAGAAAATGGTGTGCCATTTAAACCACTCTTGTTATAATTACTTGCAATGCCATTTATTATATATCTCTTTATTTATTTCAAATGCACATTCATTATATGTATTTTGTTTATCAATTTTATGTTCTCAGATTATATCTCTTAATTTAACGATTATAATCGTGTATACATGTCAGGTGCGGATCCAGGGTTCAAGGAAAGGTGCCGCGGCATAAGTGTCCACAATTCTGTAAAATTTCACCAAACGTCGCAAGTCAATTTCGTAACGATATTCTGCAAAAAAATATACTTTCTCGATCAAATGAAGGTGTACGGTTTTTTAACCCCCCTTTTTAAATATAGCATTGCCCCTCTTGGGACCTTAATTGGTGAATGATAGTAAAACTTGATATATTTTGATGCGTGAATGATGCTATGGATATGCATATGGTAATTTGTCTTAATACAGGTAACTGGATGTATGGATTTGTTGAGTGTCTCAATTATTTTAAACAATGAAAATTAGACAACGGTTACCCTCTTCATAAAAAATAAACTTATAATTAACTTTACAACAAAATCTATCAAGAAACATTGATTTATCAAGGCCGAAAACAATATAAAAAGGGCCCAATAAAAAGACCTGCGTCAAAAAGGATACGTGATAGAAAGACCAAAAGATAAAGACAACGCAAATGATCAAAAAAGATAACACACTGAAGTGCGAGGAACAATATACCCTTATTGAGGCCCCATATTGTGAAAATTAATGAATTATATAATCTGTAATCAAAATACATTTCAAAAGATTTATTCGAATGGAAATTGTCCTCGTTGCGTTGAAATGATCGAATTCTGTTTGTCAATTCGTCTTTCCATGCAAAAATCAATTGATGAAAATAAGCCCTTATTTCAAGTGCGGAAGTTTATCGGGCACTGACTGCCTAATCACACACAATGCCAAAGTCCTTTGTTTTCATTTTATTATTCAGATAAACGTTTGAACAAATATGTTTCAAACCAATGTATGTAGAAAGTTCTGACTCCAAGCACAATTTTAACGATAATCTGAACTCAAAAATATGCATTATTCCCCATTAATTGTTAATCAAAATGTGAATGTAGTCCGCCATTCATGCACATATATTACCGAACACGTTTACGGCGGACATCGGAATCATCCGAACAACAAAAAATTCCCTAACCAATCAATCAGAAGAATTTTGCAGTCAACGACCAATCAGCGATAGTTTTACAAAGTAGCGTGCTCCTTTCAACATGGCGGGTGAGTCCACCTCATTTAATAAACCCTGTTCTATTTACGAAATTTAAACTTTTCCGCCTTAACTGAAGTAATATTATTATTTTTCAGATATTGACTTTTATGGTGGAATAGGAGACGATAACGGCGAAGAAGGTAAGTTATGTTTACATCAACAATTTTGTCATTGTTTATCACTGCAGAGCAGCGGAGATGACAAAATGTCCCAAGTTCTGAGATTATGATATCCTTTCGCGTCCACTTTCAGTGTTCAACATTTTGAGGGCATTCTCAGTATGTCCGATGTATGAAATCATATTCCTTACAACATATACAATGCAAAATTTCATTTTACATATTTGTTTTGATACGACACGTGTAGTTTAATTCGTAAATTCAAACATGACGCCAAGATTTGTAGAATCAATGATGCCATGATTGTGATCACGTGATCTGGGTTTCCCCCTAACCCCATGACCCAAGTTCCCGCGCACGATTCCCATTTGAAATTGGTGGCGTGTTTGTGAGGGCTCAGTAAGTATTTTAATAATTTAAGCTACCTGAAAAACAATTGAGTGCCATATTGCTAATTTAAATTGCTTTTGGAGTTAATGGCTTAGTCATGAATGAGTAATGACAATGCAGTGCGTCATTCCTGTTGAATAATGGTAAGTAGGTCACGCTTCCAGTGAAATCTGTTGCCAAAATTTATTGTAATGGAGGGTAGCGAGAGCGCGCCAAAATTTTTTCGTCAAATTTTGACAAGAAAGTAAGGATTTTTTGTTGAAAATTACATTTTTATTAATTTTCAAAGAACTATGTGTCGGTATTAGTTAGTTTCATGAACAAAGAAATTTCCATTGTTGCCATTTTCCAATGTTCAGGAAGCATTTTGTGAAGTGTTAACTTGAGCAAAGCACGCTTGCAAGGCCATTATTGTAAACAAGCTCCAGAGTATTCAATGTCAGTTTTTGTATGACATAATATTGAGGTTATTTGTTGACTTTTGTATGTGAAGTGTTAATTGCTATTGTGTACTGTAAATCAATTTATATTGCCATGAAATGTTGGGTTGAATTTAAAATCCAGATCACAAACCTTAATTAGACCTAAAGTAAAATAATATCCATACCCAACTCCAAGGAAAATTCAATATTGAAAGTCCCATATTAAATGGCAAAACAAAAAGCTCCAGCTTATCAAATGGATGAAAAACTTTCCAGTCCTCAAACTCACCCCGAGTTTAATATTGCGGACTCTTAAATGATTTTATTGCCTTTCCTAAATTTATTCAACATTGGTATGTTGTTTCATTTGAGGAGACTTTTAATACTATTTTTATTCAGTAAAATTGTTATCAAGATTAATATTGACCATGATGAAATGAAAATAGTGTAAAAAAATAGGAAATTACAAATGTATGATCGTGCATTTTCAAAGTACAGTAGGTGTTGAGTCCCAAATGATAAGAAGGTCTTGAAATGCAATTATCATTTTTTGGCTGTGATGTCTTCGTACTATGACAACGCTGAAGCCATTTTTTTCTGGTTGGACTTCCAGTGGGAATTTTCTGTTGAACTTTGAAAATTCTTACCATTTGTGCAAAATATTTCCAGAAATAACCCAAAGGAATGATGAAATAAGTGACAATTTCATCAAAGATGACAATGACCTTATATTTAGAATGGTTCCCTAGATTTCGCAAGATCCTGCACTTCTGGAAGTGTATGAAATTAATTTTCAAATGAAACATCTTAAAATTTGACTGGGCCCCAATTTCCAGATAATATAAGTCAATAATTCCAGAAATTTAGGTCTGTCAAATTTTAATGAGGAAAACGGTGCATGTAATCTAAATTTTGGTGATGCTTAAATTAAGAATGTTTAAACAAAAAACTTATCAACACAAAATGTACCTTGTGAAAACACCATAATTTAATCATAAAAATGACACCAATATAAGGATCAGTTACAATAAGTTAAAACAAAATTTAAATGTTTTGAAACATCATTGAGACCAACCTGGTCAAAAGTGTTAACTATAGGAGATTTTGCAAAAGACCTTGGATATCCCTATTCTTGAGTTTTTCAACCAGCATCTCAATTTTACCCCATGTCTTTTCATAGGCAGCATAGAAACTTCTTGCAGAGGACTATAACTCTACAGTGCCATACAAACTTGGGAGTTTGTATGCCCCATCTACGATGGTAGTAGGGCATTATGTTTTCTGGTCTGTGGGTCTGTTCCTCTGTCTGTCTGTCCTGCTTCAGGTTAAAGTTTTTGGTCAAAGTAGTTTTTGATGAAGTTGGAAGTCCAATCAACTTGAAACGTAGTACACATTTTCCTTATGATATGATCTTTCTAATTTTAATGCCAAATTAGAGATTTGACCCCAATTTCACGGTCCACTGAATATATAAATGATAGTGGGAGTGGGGCATCCGTGTACTATGGACACGTTCTTGTTTTCAATGCCTGTATCAACCTAGGAATGAAAACAGGGTCACAGGACCAAATTTGATTGGTTATTTATCCCTCATCACTATGTTTCCCTTGAAAAATTCTATATCAGGAACCAACATATTTTTCATGTAGATTTCCCTATAATTCTGTTTAAAGACTATTTTCATTATCTCTCTAAAGACAAGACTAGATCATGCAAGTTGGAAGGTACATGTATGTACTGGCAATTGTTACTTTTTCTGTTCAGAAATTATTGGAACATAGATGGCCGTTGCTGAATACAAGTGGATTAATAACCTAAGATTTAAGTAATGTTCTAGGAATTGAAGCAGCAGAAAACAGATATTTTTGTAATTGAATGGTTTATAATTCCAAGTGGTTAAATTAATCATTTTGCTGGAAACTCTAAAATAGAAGGATTATTCTACAGAATTGGAATTAGGATGAGGACTATCAGAAAATTAGTTTGCCCCAACTTGTGATGAAAGATACACCTTAGTCTCAAATATATTTGTTTGTGACGAAAGAGAAGTTGCTCAGTTTTCATGAATATGTGTCCCATTTCAAATATTAAATGTAGATTAAAAAATAAATTTTGTTAACTGGTTAAACACCCTCACTGCAGTTATTCCCCTGACGGGGATCAGTTTGTCCAGATTACTTAATTTATGCTATATAAATGTCCATGCTTATATTAGTCTCTCACTGTTTGAAGTAAGAAGATATAATTCATAGTTGCTGCAATCATATTTTATGATTAAATTATCCCCAGGTTGTTACTTTAGGGTTAAAGTTCATCTTAATTTTTTTGGAAATGTCTTACCGAGTACAGACAAACCTGTAAATTTTGAAAAGCCCCCCCCCCCCCCCCCAAAAAAAAAACCAACAGAGTACGGGGGCCAGGCTTAGAAATACTGTGACTTGTGCAGTTTTGCTCTCACAATTGCAATTCTTTCCAGATCACCTATAGAAGTAATGCTGATAAAATGAATTGCAGGTATGTCCCTTGGAAATAAAATTTAAACTGTAAATGGCATTGTAACTGGAACTCTTAACACCTTCATTTTTTGCAAGATTTGTATGAGATAAGCCTGGGATCCTGGCTCACTGCTTGACAGTAGAGCCAGGCTGAATACAACGACATGGTTTCGTCAATTTGATGTAAGAATGATGCATCGTGGGATAGCGTCATTTCTTGACACGTGGCAGGAAATATTCATATTGTCACGAATTCATTGAAAATTATTTTTCATTTCATATGAAATGCAAATTTCGAAAAATTTAGCATATATTATTCGAACTTTATTGATGAACATCATGAATCAACTAAAAAATAACGATCCGATCGATATATTCCTTGTTAATAGAACATGCACATGTGCAGTAATTCAGCCCTGTTCAGCGCTGATAGTTGGTCATGTGGATTGTATAACACCTGGCCCTATCGACGAAGTATTAGATTGGGTCGGAATGCCAGGCTAGTATGAAATTTATATCAGCCAGATCTTGGAAGAGTTTGATAACATTTCTATAGGAGAAATGTCCCTTGAAAATAGGAATAATAATTAAAATTACATTGTTAGCAATCTCATGTCTATAAAAATAAGAAGTGGTATGATTGCCAAAGAGTCGACTCCACCAGAGATCAAATGACACAGAAGTAAACATCTATTGGTCACTGTACATCCCTTCAACATTTAGCAAAACTTGATGAATATATATACCCTAGAGTTGTTGGACATTAGGAAAAGTTTTTCAAAAAATAAAATCCCGTGCCCTGAGAAAAGTACTATTAACCTCCCTAAATTGCAAGGAATTGTTTTTGGAGGGTTTGTACATGTTATAACAATTTTTTCTTTTGTTTGTCTAGAGGTATGGTGCTTTATTGTAAAAAAAAATTCATACAGTGTCTTCCCTAGAAAATTTTTCATGCATGGTGGGTCCATGGTGAATTTGCAATGCGGCGCGCGACGCTTCTTTTTCCAGAATAAGTAACACTACATAATTTATATGTTTAAAGCCATATACCAATCTAATTGTTTTATTATAGGTACAGTAATTCATATAAGTCATGGAACTTTAAAGTATTTATTACAGATGAGAGGAAGACTTTATAAACAATAATAAAATCCAGTCTGCAATAGTTATTTATAAAATAATGCCATGTAGGCCTACACATTATTTTGTTGATATCTTCCTCTGTTTCAACTTTCCAAAGGTCACCACACATTTTTCAAAATCAAAATCTTCCTTGACCTTTGGTCCTTCAATTGATATATGCATTAAGCAATATGGCACTTTTTGGCATAGTCTTTTTCTCAAAGGTGTTTTAACCCTGTTTAAGCATGAAAAACACCTTTCACAATCAGCTGTTGAAACTAGCAATGGAAGACTCAATACTACATACTTAGACAGACAAGGATACAAAGTTCCAAGACTGGCAACTTTGTTCATTGTCTGCCTAAATGTCATGTCTTTACATTCTTTCACTAACAGTGTCCTCAGTTTGCTGATAGAATGGTTTCAGCATCAACAGCAAGTTGTTAAATAAAACTTTGAATGTCATCATTGCTTCACAGAGATTTTACAGGAAACAATAAAACAAAGTTTATTGTGTTAATTACAGAAGTCGTCAATAAAGAATACCTGACATACGGACGACATTGTTTGGAAGCTAAGCTGACATGTTATTTCATGACAATTTGTAACTATTTTTTTTAAATACATCCCTGTCCGATTTATTTATAACGCTTCGTAATTGTAAAAATCCTATCTTTCCGAAGTGAAAGAAATTTAGCCCCACTTATGTAAAAAAACGGCAAATGAATCCGCTACACTTAAGCTTCATGTGACCCATTCAAATAAAAGTAGAACAACACAAGCTTATTAAAAACAATATTTCCGTAAATAACTACGTATATTTTGAAAGTTTTTCTATCAAAATATTTCATAAGACACGTCTTTTTCTTGGCCCGGTGACGGTGATGTGTATTCTTTGATATAATCAATCAACCGCGACTAATCTAAAAATAACGACCAATCAAAAAATAATTCATCGATGTAAATATAGCTGATGAAAAAACTGCGAAACTTTATTAAAACAAAAGTGTTGTCCATTCTCGGTGAAATTACGTTAGTTTTATTTTATAATACCAGATTACTATACCAAATTTTAAATTTCTACTTTTTAAAGATCACAGTAAAATAACGATGTCAAACACCCGTTTTAAGGTGAAATTTATACTGGAAAAGGTTAAACTTTTTATTTAGCACAGAAAGATATGCATTGGAGATTAATCTGACTATTTATTTATCAGCTAACTGGCCACTTCTATTATGTAACCGAAGTCTCGATATATAACCAACTAATCAAAAAGGTTGTAAAATCCCGGCACGCGCTACGTGATGCATCCAATTATCAGTCGGATGAGTTTAAAACACATGTGGCGTGTGGTCACTTGTCACTTCACTTTCAAAATCGATAATAAATATTTTACACAGTTATAATTTTCACACATAGCGGGATGCATTGCGGCAATGATGAAAGCATGGCGGTCGAAATTTATGCGTAGCGGTACCGCAATGCTTGAACAGCCTAGGGAAAACACTGTCATACATCATAAAGTAGAAAATAAATATTTTTTCTTTGCAGTACCTTGTACTACTTTTGACCTCATTGCACAAGTAAATTTTTTTTTAAGATGATATCATTTGGGTAAATATTTTGGGGTAAAATTATTATTTATGCGTAACATACACATACATTTAGGTGTGTGTTAACAAGTGCTGAGGCAAACAGACCTGTTATATGATTCCAACTCTTCCAACACATACACACATAGAAAATCATTAGCCATTTGACCATTGTGATATGTTAAGATTGCAGACATCTAGGATATTTAGCCATACCATTTGAAATTATAATTTATTTTATAGGGTTTGGTCTTGATGATGATTTGGATGGGGAGGATAATTACAACACAGATGATAAACTTTCACCTCTACAAAAATTGGAGAAATACATGCAAAGTGACAATGTCTACACAAGGTTAGTCTGGTTTCTAAATATTGATACAAAAGATTGATGATTCAAAGAATTTTTTGGTACACAATCTCAATTTTTCCTTGAGAAACCTGAGTATTGATAATTGCAAGTGTTTTTTTAATCTGAAGGACAAGAATTTTTCTCGTAATCTCAATAATCACATATTTCTATTGAACGTCCTAAAAGTGGGTTCCTGGCATGGTTTATTATCATTTCAATTGAATTGGTAGTATACAGAAATAAATGAACTCAAGGTTTCATGTAAAACAAGTTCATTTTTGTTCTGTAGGCAAATGGTTGCTCGTGGTATGTTGGATACAATCCGAGCTGTTGAAGATGAGGAAGAAGATTGCACACCTGTTTTGGAAGCCATGGTGAAATTATCAGAAGATTCAGGTATGTTATTCGTAAAATATTTAACCATGCATGATGAGCATAAACCCCACATTTCTTTTCTTCATATTGCGTTGTAGTCTATTAGAATAATAATATTAATATGTTATGTCTGATATACACTTACCGTTCCTACTCGCTTATTAGTCGGAAAATTGGGAGTAAAATTCATAATCCAGAGAGGGGGGGCGACTAATAGACGAGATCTAGCGACCAGAGGAAAAATCCAAGCTTGAGAAAAGTGGTCAGGAGTGAATTTCCTGGTCAAAACTACGTTTTTGATTGCCAAACCTACATAAATCAATAAATAAAAAGTTTTTGTTGAAAATAAATGACTTCAATACTGTCTTTGTGTTTTATTTGTTCTTTGGTAAACATTTTCTGCAAATTCGTGTTGAAATTCTACTGTTTCCGGTTTGTGTATTGATTTTCATGGTCACATGGTTTTCCTATAAACCCAAAAGAAGAGCCAAGAACCAAAAATGAAAAGGAGATAACAATGTACCAAATATGTGAAAGGATGTTTTCAGCGGAGTTATTGTGATATCATGATATCAATTCAATGCTTATAAATCATATAATAATCAAAAAATAATTTTAAGATTCATTCCCAAAATCAAAATATTATTCATTATAGTGTCTCAGGTAAACAAAAATTACAAAATTGATTGACAAGCCAATATAATCCATTGATAACCCCAATTAAGAGACAAAGAGTTGTATTCACTAAAGGTGTGAAAACTATCAGTGATAGGTAAACAGATGACACTAATGAGTTGGAGTTAGTTATTTTAATATATTGATTAGCTTCACTTAATTTTTTTTAATCCTTTAATCATCACAATATAATAAGAATTATGAAGTGTACATGCTCATTTAACACCGAGTTATGTATGCTGTGAAAAATATTTTCATCAAGTGTTGATTGACTTTAAATTTTTCAGGTTCATATTGGTTTATATTCGCTTTTCTCAAACAATAGGTTGTTAGTCATACCCTACAAAATCATTGATGCATTACGTAAACAACACATGGCTAATCTAACATTTGAACAGTGAACAAAACAAGAGAAATGAATACATCTTTATTATTAACAGCAATATAAATTATCATGATGAGCATCAACTAAATTCAAACCAAACAAACATTAATGCAGAAATGAATATTATTCCTGGATTTGCATTGGTTTTACCGGCGTTCAGTTACTGTCAGCTGAAAAAAAAATGCCCAAATTTTGTCCCGACTTATACGAGGGTCAAGACTAAATCCTTAGAATTTGGAGCTGAAAAGGGACCCCGACTTATAGTAGGATCGACTATTAGGCGAGTATCTACGGTATTCTGATGTTTTGAACATGATTGTTAATAGAATGTAAAAGCTGTAATGTGTTGAAACACAATCTTTTGAAAAAAGTACTGAAAGCTTTTGAATCTAAATTTCAAAATCCTATAGGGTTTAAGATATCTAGAAATTAAGAATGATGAGAAAATGAAAGAATTGAAACAAAAAAGTAAAGGGGGTTGGTTACAAAAATTGTTCAGATTTTGTTATTATGCACCTGCCGCAGCAGAGGGGCATTTTATGTTACCCTTGTCTGTCTGTAAGTACGTCCCAAAGTTAGTTTCTGTTTTCTATCTTACGGTTGCCTTAACCAAATGATATGAAACTTATACACAATGCTTATTACCACAAAAAACACATCAAGTTCAAATTTGGATTGCGTCACTTTTACTGTTCTTGAGTTATGTCCCTCAATAACATTATATGCAAACAGGGGCATCATCTGTGTCCCATAGACACATTCTCCATTTATTTATTTTTGGTCTCTACACCAGTTGCTAAAATATTTGACATATTTTCCCTGCGAATTCTACTTAAATAGTAGTAAAATATGCTCTGAAACTGTAATTGTCTTTAAAGAGTCTGTCCAATAAGAAAGATGCCCATGTATTGTAATACTGTTGTTTTTATTGTAGATCCAATTGTTCGGTCAGAGTTGATGGAACAGATACCACATTTAGCAATGTACTGTCAGGAAAATAAAGATTTGTTTCCAAACTCTGTATCTTTGTACATTTTGCCGATGGTGGTGCGATATTTAAATGACAGAAACAATCAGGTAGGTCTTTACAACTTCATTCAGTTATCAAGTTAATAATACTTAAAAATAGTGAAAAGAATTCGTTCCTTTTCCAATAGTCTGCACTTTATAAACCAATGAAACTGAAATCCTAAAAGTGTCAAGTGCATTTTTTGTATCACCAAGGTAAACATGTCTACAATGTTCAATCAAGCAATTGTATCTTAATAATCAAGTGTTAGAAATAATGCCACCATAAATAATAAATAACTAGACAACTGAACGGAACACAAGTGAAAAGCAATTTGGTCTTGGATTTATTAAAAAATTGTTAATGATTTTGACTTTTTTCTTTCAGGTCAGAAAAACTAGTCAGGCAGCATTACTTGTACTTCTTGAACAAGAATTAATAAGTAAAGGTAACAGCTTTCTTTTAACCTCTATGTTACAAGGATTTTACATTTTAATATTTAACAGTTTGTAACAATAGTTTTGTATAACTAGTCTTAACTACTCTGTTTTTTATATGACCGCAAAAAATTTTTGTTGTGGTATATTGGTATCACGTTGTCATCTGAAGACACTTGGTTTCCAGACAATAACTTTAGTAAATGTAAATAGAAATCTATGAAATTTAAACACAAGGTTTATAACCACAAAAGGAAGGTTGGGATTGATTTTGGGGGTTATGGTCCTGACAGTTTAGGAATTAGGGGCCCAAATAAGCATTTTTCTAGTTTTCAGACAATAACTTGTGGAACGATGTATGGATCTCTCTGAAATTGTACAAGTTTCCATACCACAAAGGGATGGTTAGGATTGGCTTTGGGGGGTAAAAAGAAATTGGGGGAGGGGGACAATATTTTTTTCTCATTACAGATTTCAGAAATTAAAAAGAAAATTCTCAAATATTTTTTTTGTGAACATTTTTTTTTGCCTCAAAAAAAAAATAGGGGTGAAATTTTTTTTTTGGGGGGGGGGGGGGGGGTCAAATGAAACAGCATAGTGTATTGCACAAAAGCAAAAAAAAATAAATATTAATTCAAATCATATAACCAATTCTAAGTTCTTTGACTACAGTTATTCTGTGTCAGAAACCTATTATGTGTCAAACATTTAATTTCATTCTAAATTCAGACCTGTATCAAGCACATATATTTTGTCCAGTTTTGCCCCAACTGTTCAGGGTTGGACCTCCGAGGTCGTATCCAGCTGCGCTCGGCAAAGCAATTTATTTACAGGCTTAGTAAGGAGAAAGAGCAGTTCTAGTAACTGCTCTACTCCACCATTTCGTACAAAACACACGATTGATTCTATGTGCCAAAAATTATACATATGCCACCATTAATGAAATAGCTGCTAAGTTTTTAAAAAAAAACATGATTTAAATGAGACTTCACTCACTTTAAAGATACTCTGTCTTCAGGATCATTTCACTTTATGTTTCTATGCCTAAAACAAAAATGTGCAAACAGGTCCCCTCCTTAAAAATGATTTCTAATGTTTATTTTTGTGTGTGTCAGTCTTTTTGCTCAACCACAGGCCCAACAGCCCAGGCTAATAAAAATGCTGTCAAGTCTCTTAAAAACATCTACAGGGCAATAGAATCTTAACTAAAATTTTCTTAAAATTCAGCTTTGGGGCCTGTAGATTCAAAGGTGCATCCTTTTAGGTTTCTTAAGTATGTTCCCAATGAACTCCTGTATTGATATTATAATTATTAATGTTAAAAATTACCTTAACTGCCATTCACATTCATGATTATCTAGTAAATTCTTGCACTTTTTCTTTGTGCTGAAGACTTCCTCATAAAGAACTATACCAAACAGGTCAGAATGCAGTGTTGGTCTTATTTTTTTTGACAAATCAAGAAACATGCATATCATTGCCCAAAATTGGCTTCATTTTTGACGACTTTGTGAAGTAAGTTTTAAGAGCCTCTACAAGAAAGATATATTTTTATTGTAGCTGATATAGAAGAACAAGTAGTGAGTGTGATCATAGATCTAGCCAGTCCAGATAGTATGGATGATTACAGAACAGAAGCTGTAGCAGTAAGTTAATATTGAAAAAATTGAGGAATTTCCTTTATATTTGTAATACAGGAATATCCATCCATTTATATTTTTAGTACAGGTTTAAATTTCAACTGGCACAACCCAAGTTGTTACCCTGTGTGAAAGACATGGGTAGTGAGATGTTTCATACACTTCACCTTACTACTCTGTCTTTTGCATGGCAGTGACTCCAGTCTTCAAGAGAGTTTGATAAACTACTGTGTGTCAGACAAAAACCAGGAATATTATTGCTTTAAGGACTTTATTTTTGTTTTACTTTCAACATCTGAAAGAATGATATGGAATACAATTTTATAACAAAGACACATATATAGACTACAAGTTTTATTTTGTTTCCAATATTTTATAATATTTGGTTTTATTGAAGAAATAATTTAATCTGCCATGTAAGTATAAAATGTTTACTTTTTTACAGGTTTAGATTTGTACAGAGCTGATGACTGTCAATGCTGGATGTTATAGCTTTTACCTATCACAGCCAGCTTTGATGAGCCTTCTGGTCTGAAATACCTTCTAACTTAATTAATTAGTGTTTTTACTATAGGTTACCAGTTCTATGGAAAACTAGAGAATGACAAATTGTCAGAAGTAGAGATGTAAAATCAATGATTGAGAAGATGTATGCATAGGTACTGGCCAAGATGCTGTGATGCATTGTTAATAAGTTGTATCACAGCCTGCTTGGATCAGTATTTCTCATACACATTACCTGTACAGGATGTCTTCAAGGTATAATGCAATTAATTCATTTTGACAGGTAGCTAATTGTAATTTGGACCTTACTTGAATAATGCTCCAAGTCATTAGTCATTCTGAAAGAGTGTAAATTTGTTTAATTATTGTAGAGTAATGCTCATTAAGAAAATTTGCTCAAATTAATGAAAGTATTTATAACTACTATAAATATTGATATAGCTATGGAATATTATTCATAAACTGTTAATCATAATATACACATGTATATACAGAAATAATTTTCAGTCCTTGTATGTTTACTGACAATAATACCACTGAAGGATACTAGATGAATGGAAGATCTATTAAACAGAAGAGGTAATTTGTCACCTTGACCCATCAGAGTGACTGTGAAATGTTGGTATATTTCATATCACAGCCAGCTTTGATGAGCTCAGTGTGAAAATTGGTACAGCACAAATTATTCAGCCTGATTTTAGTTTGAGGAAAGTATGCAGAAGAGTGAAAGATAAAAAATACCTTTGCGATTGTTAATTGTATATTTTTTTGTTGGTGTATCCATCCTAAATGTGCATCAAAGTGGTTGTGAAATGTATTGAATCTCATATCACAGCCAGCTTTGATGAGCTTTTAGCATGAACTTTTGTAAAGCAAAGGGTGAATATCTTTATGTCCCTAAATACACTTAATGATCAAAATTTTTATATACCTTATCTCATTTAAACAATTATTTTATTTATTTCAGATAGAAAATGCAAATAAAAAGTTGTCAAAGTGGCTGTGCTGTGTGACATTATTCATATCACAGCCTGCTTTGATGAGCTTTTTAATGCAATTGACCCTCTAATAATCTTCATTTCAGCTTACACTGGTTTAAAAGAGAAAAAAACACTGTTTTCAAGACATCAAAGTTGTTGTGATGTGTTCCAAATTATCATATCACAGCCAGCTTTGATGAGCTTGAAACAGTGAAAATCTTCCATTTTGAGATGAATAAATGTCAATATTTTGAAAATTTTCTATTGCAAATATTACAAATGTTATGTGTACAACACTTTAATTTTTTTGAAGGATCACTGAATTTGAATCATTTGTTTTATATGTAAAGATACAATCAAGATGCGCAAGATATTTCTGTAGAAACTTATACTTTATTTTCAGTCATCAATATGGTATTATTAAAGATATTAATTTTATTACGAGTTTTTTTTTTTTTTACATTACAGCTAATAGAAATAAACAGAAGAAAGAGGCCATCTTGATGTCGAAGTGGTTGTGACATGTTGTTAAATTTTCATATCACAGCCAGCTTTGATGACAAGAAATCCTTTACACCAGCCATGATTGTTCTACAAGGAAAAGTTACTAAGCTTAAAATGGAATCCTGCATATATATATGTTTAGAATTTTGTCAAGATGATATAAGATTATAAGATTTCAATATTTTACATGTTGAATATATAATTAAAAATTTGTATTTCTTTCAAAATTGTTGGGCGTTGAGGTGAATGCACATTTGAATATTGGTTATATATTATATTTTAGTTGATGAGTAAAATGTCCCAGTTGTTAGGAAGAGACATGACAGAAAGATTATTCCTTTCGAGATTCTGTGAGATGTGTACAGACCCTTTATTTCATGTTAGAAAGGTAGTTAGCTAACTTTTTAATAGATTTAAGTTGAAAGATAACAGTATGAAAAAGTAGAAGTAGTACTAGTTTCAGAAACTAATCTATGCAAAAAAAGATTTGTTATCAATGTGCATAATTGCATGAAATGTTTCTTTTATTTAAATTGTACCAAAGGAGCAGTTGTAAAAATGTTTTTTTGTATTTTTAATGTTTACATTTTTTATGGGTAAAGATTTTGGCAGACTATGAAGTAGCCTCTCTTGTCAAATGAGAAAGAATAAGTAACTTTAAAAGTAAATGTACAGTTGTGACTTTTTAGTTCTGAAAAATTGCTCAAGATTACATAAAATTTAAACGGGACCAGCACTGAATGTTAATAAAAGTGCAGATCACACAGTTCAGAGAGATTCAAAATATTTATAAATACAGAAGTTTGATAGCAGGAATTTAAGCGTCTTGGCTTGTGAAGATGTTAAGATTTACACAATCACATTTGCTTACGACTTCTTTACAACTTCCAACTTTCTCAACTGGATGTTAAGCAAGTGACAATCAATCTAATTTGTTTAAAGGAAACCTTTCATAAAAAAGTCTCGAGTTTATATCATTTCACATGGAAGTTATGTTGAAGTAATTTGATTGTGACAGGTGTGTGCTGCTAACTTTGGAGACTTCTGTACAGTAGTAGGACAAGACAATACAGAAAGAGAATTGGTAAGATATGTGTTGGTTACTGCTATTGAATGTTACAATTCCAACAAATTAGGGTGGGTTTTTTTTTTGAGCAAAATTTAAAAGCTGTAAGCTTGTTTGGGGGTAAAAAAACGAAAAACTCAACTCCACATCTACATCAGAAATTTCAGTACATACAGTGGAAAACTTGCATCAAAGTTCTTTATTTTTAGTTTATTATTTTCATCATATTGTTTAAAACTATCTTACTCTCCATGTAAAAGTGTCGTCTTGAATCTATACCAGAACGACACTAAAAATGCTGTTGGATAGTCTCTCTTAATTCAAAATCTTGATTGAATGTTACAACTGATGTTTTGCAAGTTTGTAATGTTTTTATTAAATTACAGATTGTAATCTTTTTTATTGCATGATTGTGCCAAGCATTTCTTGATATTTTGTTTAAACACAAAAATATTTTCTAAGGTAGTCCATTCCTTTCAACTGAACGAGAATAAACATGATTTCTTAAACAGCTCAGCTTTTTGGCTAGATAACTCAAAGATTACATTGAGTAATGTCTGGAAGAGTAAGAATTATCATATATTAGTTTAAATTTTGCATGGATTACAAAATGTTTACAAAATTTAAATACCTTTCAGTTGCCAAAATTTTATTACTTGTGTGAAGATGGAGTTTGGGGAGTGAGGAAAGCATGTGCAGAATGTTTTATGGCAGTTTCCTGTTCGTGTTCACTAGAAGTTAGACGGGGAGAGTTGTCTAACTTATTTGTTAATCTTTTATGTGATTTATCAAGATGGGTAAGTTAATCAGCTTAAGTAGGAGTTGTGGCTGACTAGACATTTTTATTAAAAATGCTAAACAATGAAGTAACACTATGACCCAGAAATTGAAGAATATGTGATAAATATTAAATAGAAATGTCTATGGTCTTGAGTATTCTTAGTTATATCAGTCTTCTCTGTACGTAGAGAACCCTTGCAACAACTCTTTGAGGGGTCTGTAGGTGCCTGTTGCAAGGCAAAATTGCTGTCCCTATCCAATATACCCTCAATTTCCTGTGGCAGTCTAGATTTCTCCAACCTTCATCCTTGAAGGCCTCTATTACAGGACCTATCTTGTAAATTTGTTCTGGTCCTGAACATGCATGAAATATTTGCAACTGGACGTTATGCAACAAACCAACAATCAATCAATCATGTCAGTCTTGACTAACTTCGAGCAATTCATTGGACTGTCTACTGATTCCAATTATAATATCTTGAGAATAGTATTGTATAAAATCTTACGGCCAAAAATGTCCGCAGCTGAAATATGTGAACAGATGTGGCATTAAATGATGGAATTGTGAATTTGGAAATAAAAGACAAGTTACTTTTTAAGGTGTTTATCACAGTTTTGAGGAAGCTGATGCTACTATATATTCTGACATATTGGCTTTTAAGACGATTAAAAGTTAGGTTGCTCCAAGTATCCAAAAATTAAAGTTAATTACTTTCTTACGATTTACCAATATGTATACTTGTTCAAGGTGAGAATGGCAGCATTTCAACAGTTGGGGCCATTCATTTCAACCTTTGCTGATTCTGAACTGACTGGTCTGTTTGTAAATGAAGAAGGTGTACTGATAGTGAAGAATCCAGAGAGTTTGTAAGTAATCATTATTCTCCAGACTAAAATCAAATGACTTTTTAAGTTACAGTAAACATCAACATTTTATGTCTTGTTAATTGGTGCAACAAAGATAAGTAACATAAGTGAAGAAGTAATGTTTGGTCATTTTGTTTGTTGAGATAAAAAGAAGAAAACATTCAAGATTTAAATGTCTGCTTGAAGTGTATTGAAGTGTAGGCATGCTTAGCAAATATGCAAAAAAAATGGTTGAATCATTGTAAAATTTGATTATTAGACATGATTGAAACAGTAAAACATTGGATAAATAATTTTGTCCAAATAGTTGTAAAGCCACCATACTGATACACTTTAATTTTGTTTTACTTGAAAGATAACTTGCCATTTGTAAATAAGTGCAGATGATGCACTTTCTGCTTCAGCTATGTTTTAATAGAACATAAAATAAAAATAATACATATTGCAGAGAAATTTTAAGAGATTTAGAAGAACGAATACGAGAAAAAGAAGAATTTGTTGAAGATGTTAGAATGTTTGAAAGAGAAAAACAAAAAGCTCAAGAAGGCTTATGTGATTCAATGGATAATTTGGAAATAATGGACATATCAGATAGTAACAATCCTAATGATGTTCTTGTTTCTTCGGATGACAGTCTGTCAGCTGAAGAAAAAAGAGCTCATAATTACGAAAATTCTAGTTCTGAACATACAAACAAAATAGAACAAAATTCAGATTCTAGCATATCAAATGACAGTTCAGTAGCTCAATGTGATAATACAACAGACCAAGAAAATACCTGTGATATTAAAGAGCCTGTATCAGACTCTCCAGTATGTGCCAGTAGTAGTGATCTTTCAAATAATAATATAGAAAGAAATAGTGTAGATAGTGATAGTAGTAGCCAATTGATATGTGATACAAGTAAACCAACTGGGCAAGATAGCCAACAAGAGGAAGACTTTAACTCATTTGTTTATTGGAGGGCACCCTTGCCTGAGATAGATGTGACTCTTTCTGAGGAACACAAATCTGATGAAAATCAACTTAGTGTTTATGCTAGGGGATTTGATACTATCACAGCAGGAAAGTCCGATGTAGTCTCTTTAGAGGATATAGCCTTGAATGATGTTGAAAAGAATAATGTCAAAAATTTAAATTCTGACAACGAAGTGCTTGATGAAGGCCAGCAAATAATGACTGCTAATGTTTGTACTTTGAATGAAGTTTCAGAAACTGTTGACAATATTGGTACCACACATGTCATTGGAGATCAACTGAAGGAATTATCCCTTCAGAATGAAAACAATGTACATGGTTTGTATTATGGTAATTATTCTTTAAAACTTTGTTGGCCTTGTCTTAATATCTTACATTTGCATATCGTTCACAAACACAATAATTAAAAAAGACTTCATATACTGGACAAAATAAGCGGAAACTCCGTGTTCCTGAATGTAAAATCATACTAATACTTCAAAATAATCAATATAACGAAGGAATATCATATTTTAATTGTTCCTCCTTTCCAGAATTTCAAGTTTTTAAGGTTTTCAATGAAGAATTAAGAGCTCTCCTCAAGTTGGATCAAGTACAAATGTAGGTCCCTTACATGAACTTGTGGGGGATTCTTAAATAATTAATCTAAAACTGAAAAATAATGCATGCCTTTTAAATTTACCTTTTGATGCAGATAAAAAAAAAATTAAATTGTGTTTACATTTGATCATTGTTACAAAATTTTCAAGAATGTGCATGCTTAACCATGTGTTGCTTATAGACTTTACATGCATATGTTATTTCAATAATTTTGTCTTGATTATGGGGAATGATTTCACTCAAAAAAGTGAAAGGTTGTCTCCCTGCAGTTCCTACCTATTCTTCCAGATGATATCCTTGGCTATATTGACAGTGATCTATTGCTGTCTTTAATGCCTCTTGCAGATTTAAGTGGTACCAGCCTGGAGTTTATCGATGCCGAAAGTCCAGAACATATCGATGAGGCTGCATTAGCTCAACAGCAGGTATGTATAAAAAAGAGATTTAAAAAATTGCTGGAAGTTGAAAAGTTTTTTTAAAAAAAACATTTTAGGCTATTGAAGGTTTACAATTGAGCTGATTCAAAATGTGAAGAAGAAACCTTGCTGTTAGGTAATAATAGTTAGGAACTTTGCTTCCAAACAGTAAATCTAAAATTAACAAGTACTATTTTGCATTTATTATTGTGTTTTAAAATCATATTGGTCTGTTCAGCGAGTCCCCAAATCATCAAGCTGGTGGGGACAAGATCAAATGTGAGGTGTCGAGTAGGAACACACCAAGCAAATCATTTTGAGTAGTTTACTAGAAAATTCACACACGTCTGTTGGATCCTTTCTTTGAATAGTTTATGAAAAGCAAATCTTGTAAACCAAAAAAAATGATTGGGCCTATGTGAATATCAAAAGTCAAAAAATTATTGTGTGTGAAGCTAACAAATACTTGTCAAACTAGATGTGTAGTTTGGACTTGTTTAGCAATGGTTATGATTTTCCATTGATAAAAACTTGATTTGATATAGATATATAAGGTCTACATGTCAAAAGTTTAAGATGAATTTTAGATTAATTAGGTTTGAAGCCTAAAATGATGTTTTTATGACAACACTTATTGTAGGACATTGTACCTCAGAGTTTATTAGAAAGCTACTTAGGAATGGCAGATCCATCCAGAGCACAGACTGTAGATACAGAAATTACCCGACATTGTGCATACAATCTTCCAGCTGTAGCATACACTTTAGGAAGGAAAAATTGGAACTGTATTAAACTGTTGTATGAAACATTGGCATCAGATATGCAGGTGAGATAAGTCTGACATACTAAAATTAAAGAATGAATAGTGAATACATGTAATTGTAGTTCTATGAAATTTACCAGTGTCTGTATCTACATGATAGTATAGGCTTTCTGTAGTCCTTTAATATTTCATCAATTCATATGTTAGTATAAAAATGAGGCGTTGTAGTTTTGAGTGCCAACGAGACAACTATGCACCAGAATGAAAATGTAGTTGTAGTAAGCAATTAAAGGCCACCATACAGACCAGATTTTTTAAGCCCCTGGCTGCAGCGGAGGGGACATAGAGTTTTCGAACATACCAAAGTTATTTTCCGTTCTCAAGTTTGCCTCGACCAAATGTATGAAACTCCTACACAATGCTTATTACCACCAAACACAGATCAAGTTCGAATATCGGTGGCATCGTTTTTCACTGTTCTTGAGTTGTGTCCATTTATATATGGGAAAGTTGACAAATTGGCTGTTTCCGCAATCCAACTTTACTTTGCCTCTTACAAATGTTGTGAAACTAATACAAATTGCTTATTACCACCTAATACATATCAAGTTTGAATGTGGGGCCAGGGGGTCATCACTTTCAATGTTCTAAAGTTATGTCCCTTTATTGCTAAATTTCCTCTCTGCACTCTGAACTTTAGTTTGACTAAACCAAATGTTATGAAACTTGTACACAATGCTTATTACCACCAAACAAATCAAGATCGAATTTGGGTGGCGTCACTTGCCTTCTTTAGTTATGTCCCTTTATAAATCTAAAAATTTCTGAATTTGTCGTATATTTACTAGCGGGGGCAAGGTATCTATGTCTATTCTTCTTTTAATTTTTTTTTTTTATTAACGTTTTTATTTTACCTGAAATATCTGTAAGGACTATTTTGTTTGTTATATATACACATGTATTTTTCATAATCAAATTCCTGTTGGATTTTAATAACAAACTTTGCATACCATTTAAATTGTGTATTTTTTTGAAGGAAAAAGTATGTCTGGAAGCCTGCTTGCATTATCGTCACTACCTTATGAAGAGCGGCAACATTTGGTTGAACATGATGTTAAAATGTAAACCTTCGATTTTTCAATGATATTTATTACATACTCTTCAATGTAGTTATCTCGACTCAAGTTTTAATAATTCTTGTGTGATTTTACAGTGGAAGGTTAGAAGAACACTAGCATTTTCTATCCATGAAATGGCGATTATTCTTGGTTCAGAAATTACACATCATGATTTGGTACCGGTATTTGATGGATTTCTGAAAGATTTAGATGAAGTCAGGATAGGAGTTTTAAGGCACTTTTCTGATTTTCTAAGGGTATGTATGACATCTATTCCTTTTAACTGTTTGAAACATTTACAACACTAAAAAAATTCTTGTTTTCAAATGAAATTTTACGCTGCTGCTGTGGGGGCATTAAGTGTTACCCTTTCCGTTCTTTAACTTTGTTGGAAGGCACTTTTATTAAAATATGATGGGTGGTGGTTATTTTAGACAAGATAGCCTTAACAATTACATGAAATAATAAAACATAAAGGAATGGCGGGGTTGAATTCAGTGCCCTCGACCATAATTTTTGTCGCAGAAAGCTCGACATAGGGATAGTGATCCGGCTTTACATTTTAGAAGGTGGAAGGTCTGGATGCTTCATACTTTGTTTATGGATGCCTCATGTTATTAAGTTTCCGTCAGTCACATGTCCAATGTCCTTGACCTCATTTTCATGGTACAGTGACTACTTGAAAAAAAAGTTGATTTTTTGTAATGTTAAATTCTCTCTTATCATAAGTAATAGGATAACTATATTTGGTATGTGCGTACCTTGCAAGGTCCTTAGCTGTACATGCCTGCCTAGCATGGTTCATCTGACCTTGACCTCATTTTCATGGTTCATTGGTCAATGTTTAGTTTACTTGGTTAATGTTAAGTTTATGTGACAGTTGTAATAAAGCTTTATATTTAGGACTATCAACATAATATCAATGATTAGTAAAGAAGGCCAGACATTTCAGCGTGTGCACTCTTGTTAATTTATCTAGAAAGTTTTATTCAAGTTTTAAAATTTATGTCTGATCATAGGCTTAAGCATGCAGTCATTGAAAAGATATTGTCTTGGTGACTATGTACCTAAATGCAATTTTATCAGACATATGAAATATTTTAATTAAATGGTGGTTTTTTTCAGCTGCTGACACAAGAAACGAGGAAACAGTACTTGGGTAAAATGGATAGTTTCATGAGCCTCGACAATCATAAAAATTGGAGATTTAGATTTGAATTGGCAGAGTAAGTTCAAATATGCCTAGTCAAAACCAAGAGAATACTATGATTGTGAACAGATTTATTAAAAAAAAAAAAAACAGCATTTGAAATTGAATCCGTGGTTGCACACAAACACAATAGTTACTCTTTATCACATATTGATTTGCAAATTAAACCAATATTTGTAACTTGTATTTTTGGCAGAAAATTGTGACTAGCTAAGTATTTATTATTTTTTCATGAAAAACAATTGAATTGCTGGAATGTTTTACACAAGTTTTGATCAGCTGACATTCTTGTAATCCATACATGAAAATAACCCTTCCTGTAACCCCTGTTAATATAAAGTATGTTTTACTGAATATTTGAAAAGCTAAAGACCAACATTGATATATTTGTATTGCAGGCAGTTGATTTCTATCACAGAATTGTTCAGTGCAACAGAAGTTAGTCAATATGTTCTGCCTTTAGGGTTAGCTTTATGTGAAGACAGGGTGTCAGAAGTCCGCAGAATGGCATTCAATTTGGTATGTTAAAACATTGATTTTTCAGTAGCTATATAATTCAATTGCATAGGTGCCAACTTTGTCTCCCTTCCGACAAAAGCAGTGGATAACGAGACATGTTGTTTTTCTGGCTAAGGAGGTGTCAACAATTTTAGGTGTTCTGTTCAAGTCAGTTTGAAAGGAACTTCTTGTGAAAGATCAATGATATTTTGTATAAATTTGCATTACTATCAGTTTGACGACAGTTTTGAGGTCCTGTCCCATAGGTCATGGTCCAGTTCAGCGACTTTCAGTCACCAATTTTGAATGTAAACTTCTGCTTGAGTCATTTAATAGGAACTACTTGTGATAGATCAATGATATGTTCTATAAAGTTGCATACTATCAGTACATATCAATTTGACAACTATTTCTAGGCACTGCCCCCTAGGTCATTATCAAGTGACTTTGAGAATTAATTAGCAATTTTAAGTTTTCTGCTTAAGCCAGTTACTTGGAACCACTTGTAATAGATCAATGATGTTTTCTTAAAAGTTGCATTACTATCAGTACATATCAGTCTGATGACTATTTCAATGTCCCTATGTCATGGTCCAGCAACTTTGAATTGATTATTAATGTTGCTGTCCATTCAGATTCTCTCTTTTTGAATTTTCTGCCAACAGGCAAGACAAATCTAGGTGTCAACAGAATGATTGAAAAAAGAGTGAGGAGGAGTATTAATTGTTTACCTCTGTCAATCTGTAACACATTAATGTGTCATTTTACTCATCAACTACAAATTATCTTGATATTTGGTACCAAGCTTTATAACCCCCACGGCATTCTTTATATGCCTGTCCCAAGTCAGGAGCCTGTAGTTAAGTGGTTGTTGTTGGTTCATGTCCGTCATATTTGTTTTCTTATTTGAGTTGTTTCATATATTTCATGTCCGGCCTTTTATAGCCGACTTTACGGTATGAGTTTTCTCATTTTTGAAGGCCATACTGTTGCCTATAATTGCTTACATCCACTTTATTTGAACTATGGTGAATAGTTGTCTCATTGGCAATCAAACCTCATCTCCTTATTTTTAGGCCAAAAAAAAATATATGTCTGTTTAAGGTTACATACTTTAAAAAAAATAGGGTAGGTAGGTCGGTATTTCCATTTTATTTTATTTTTTATACGACCGCAAAAGTTGCGGTCGTATATTGGTATGACGTTGGCGACGTCGTCGTCCGAAGACACATTGGTTTTCGCACTCTAACTTTAGTTTAAGTGAATGGATCTCTATGAGATTTTACCATAAGGTTCAATACCACAAAAGGAAGGTTGGGATTGATTTTGGGGTTTTTGGTACCAACAGTTAAGGAATTAGGGGCCAAAAATGAGCATTTTTGTAACTTCCAGACATAACTTGTGTGTTAGTGTATGGATCTCTCTGACATTGTACCACAACGTTCCATATCACACAGGGAATGCTGGGATTGATTTTAGGGGTAATTGCCTCAAAATATTAGGAATTAGGGGCCAAAAAAGGGGCAAAAAAACAAGCATTTTTCTAGTTTCATGACAACAAGTTGTGTGTAAGTGTATGGATCTTTCTGAAATTGTACTACAAGGTTCCATATCACAAAGGGAAAGCTGGAATTGAGTTTGGGGGTAATTGCCCAAAACGTTTAGGAAAAAGGGGCCAAAAATAAGCATTTTTCTAGTTTCCAGACAATTGTGTGTTAGTGTATGGATCTCTCTGACATTGTACCACAAGGTTCCATATCACATAGGGAATGGTGGGATTGATTTTGAGGGTAATTGCCTCAAAATTTTAGGAATTAGGGGCCTAAAAGGGGCAAAAAACAAGCATTTTTCTAGTTTCAGGACAATTACTTGTGTGTAAGTGTATGGATCTTTCTGAAATTGTACGACAAGGTTCCATATCACAAAGGGAAAGCTGGGTTTGAGTTTGGGGGTAATTGCCCTAAAAGTTTAGGAATTTGGGGCCAAAAAACACATTTTTAGCTCACCTGGCCCAAAGGGCCAAGTGAGCTTTTCTCATCACTTGGCGTCGTAAGTCGTCGGCGTTAACTTTTTATACGACCGCAAAAAAAATTTTTGTGGTCGTATATTGGTATGACATTGGCGTCGTCGTCGTCCGAAGACACATTGGTTTTCGCACTCTAACTTTAGTTTAAGTGAATGGATCTCTATGAAATTTTACCACAAGGTTCAATACCACAAAAGGAAGGTTGGGATTGATTTTGGGGGTTATGGTACCAACAGTAAAGGAATAAGGGGCCAAAAATAAGCATTTTTGTAACTTCCAGACATAACTTGTGTGTTAGTGTATGGATCTCTCTGACATTGTACCACAAGGTTCCATATCACAAAAGAAATGCTGGGATTGATTTTGGGGGTAATTGCCTCAAAATTTTAGGAATTAGGGGCCAAAAAAGGGGCAAAAAACAAGCATTTTTCTAGTTTCCAGACAATTACTTGTGTTCAAGAACGTGTATGGATCTCTCTGAAATTGTACTGCAAGGTACCATACCACAAAGGGAAGGCTGGGATTGATGATGGGGGTAATTGCCTCAATATTTCAAGAATTAGGGGCCAAAAAGGGGCAAAAAACAAGCATTTTTCTAGTTTCAGGACAATAACTTGTGTGTAAGTGTATGGATCTTTCTGAAATTGTACTACAAGGTTCCATATCACAAAGGGAAAGCTGGGTTTGAGGTTGGGGTTAATTGCCCAAAACGTTTAGGAATTTGGGGCCAAAAAGGGGTAAAAAAAACCACATTTTTCTAGTTTCCAGACAATAACTTGTGTTCAAGTGTATGGATCTCTCTGAAATTGTACTGCAAGGTACCATACCACAAAGGGAAGGCTGGGATTGAGTTTGGGGATGATGAATCATAAGGGGGTTCAAAAAATTGGAGGGGATTTTTTTTTTTTTTTCCTTTTTTTTCTTTTTTTCCTTTTTTTTTTCTTTTAAAATTTTCCATTTTAAGTTGGTTATTTCTGATTTATATTTAAAAGCAAATAATAATGATATGGTAGGAGATACACACCAAACAGGATGTGTAAATTATTATATAATAAGTATTGTGCAATAGCGAGAAATTTTCAATTGCACAGTATTGCACAATAGCAAGAAATCTTCAATTACACAGTATTGCGCAATAGCAAGAAATCTTCAATTGTACAGTATGCGCAATAGCAAGAAATATCCAATAGCACAATATTGCGCAATAGCAAGAAATTGTCAATTGTACAGTATTGCGCAATAGCAAGAAATATTTAATTGCACAGTATTGTGCAAAAGAAGATACTTCATATTAATTGCTTATTTCTTGACCAATTTCAATGGGGTTTTATTCTTGAATTCTTGGGGTTCTTTAATATGCTGAATCTAACCGTGTATTTAGTTTTTGGATTTTGGGCCCCGTTTTTAAATTGGTCCACATTGAGGTCCAAAGGGTCCAAAATTAAACTTTGTTTGATTTCATCAAAAATTGAATTATTAGGGTTCTTTGATATGCCGAATCTAACCGTGTATTTAGATTATTAATTTTTGGTTCCGTTTTCAAGTTGGTCTACATTAAGGTCCACAGGGTCCAAAATTAAACTTAGTTTGATTTTAACAAAAATTGAATATATGGGGTTCTTTGATATGCTGAATCTTAACATGTATTTAGATTTTTTGAATATGGGCCCAGTTTTCAAGTTGGTCCAAATCGGGGTCCAAATTTAAACTTTGTTTGATTTCAACAAAAATTGAATATATGGGGTTCTTTGATATGCTGAATCTAACCATGTATTTAGATTTTTGATTTTTGGGCCCCGTTATCAACTTTGTCCACATTGAGGTCAAAAGGGTCCAAAATTAAACTTTGTTTGATTTCATCAAAAATTGAATTCTTGGAGTTCTTTGATATGCTGAATCTAACCATGTATTTAGATTTTGGATATTGGACCATAATAGGTGAACGTCCAATTTAAAATTTTTAAGTTCTTAGACCACATTCATTCTGTGTCAGAAACCTAGGCTGTGTCAAATATTTAATCACAATCCAAATGCAAAGCTGTATCAAGCTTGAATGTTTTGTCCATACTTGCCCCAACTGTTCAGGGTTCGACCTCTGCGGTTGTATCAAGCTGCGCCCTGCGGAGCATTTTATTACATTTTGAACTTCTTCTAGAGAACCACTGAATGGAATGAAACCAAACATGGCATGAATGTTCCTTATGAGGTGCTGACCAAGTGTTGTTACTTTGTAGCAGATCCATCATCCAAGATGGCCGCCAGCGGGGGACTTAGTTTAACATAGGACTCTATGGGAAATACATACAAATGTCTTCTTTTAGAGAACCACTGAATGGAATGAAACCAAACATGGCATGAATGTTTCTTATGAGGTGCTGACCGAGTGTTGTTACTTTGAAGCCGATCCATAATCCAAGATGGCCGCCAGCGGGGGACTTATTTTGTCGTGGGACCCTATGGGAAATACATACAAATGTCTTCTTTTAGGGAACCACTGAATGGAATGAAACCAAACATGGCATGAATGTTCCTTATGAGGTGCTGACCGAGTGTTGTTACTTTGAAGCCGATCCATAATCCAAGATGGCCGCCAGTGTGGGACTTATTTTAACATGGGACCCTATGGGAAATACATAAAAACGTCTTCTTTTAGAGAACCACTGAATGGAATGAAACCAAACATGGCATGAATGTTCCTTATGAGGTGCTGACCAAGTGTTGTTACTTTGTAGTGGATCCATCATCCAAGATGGCCGTCAGCGGGGGACTTAGTTTAACATAGGACCCTAAGGGAAATACATACAAATGTCTTCTTTTAGAGAACCACTGAATGGAATGAAACCAAACATGGCATGAATGTTCCTTATGAGGTGCTGACCGAGTGTTGTTACTTTGAAGCCGATCCATAATCCAAGATGGCCGCCAGTGTGGGACTTAGTTTAACATGGGACCCTATGGGAAATACATAAAAACGTCTTCTTTTAGAGAACCACTGAATGGAATGAAACCAAACATGGCATGAATGTTCCTTATGAGGTGCTGACCAAGTGTTGTTACTATGAAGCTGATCCATAATCCAAGATGGCCGCCAGCAGGGGACTTAGTTTAACATTGGACCCTATGGGAAATACATACAAATGTCTTCATTTAGAGAACCACTGAATGGAATGAAACCAAACATGGCATGAATGTTTCTTATGAGGTGCTGACCGAGTGTTGTTACTTTGAAGCCAATCCATAATCCAAGATGGCTGCCTGCAGGGGACTTAGTTTAACATGGGACCCTATGAGAAATACATACAAATGTCTTCTTTTAGAGAACCACTGAATGGAATGAAACCAAACATGGCATGAATGTTCCTTATGAGGTGCTGACCGAGTATTGTTACTTTGAAGCCGATCCATAATCTAAGATGGCCGCCAGCGGAGGACTTAGTTTAACATAGGACCCTTATGAGAAATACGTACAAATGTTTTCTTTTAGAGAACCAATGAATGGAATGAAACCAAACATGGCATGCATGTTCCTTTTGAGGTGCTGACCAAGTGTTGTTACTTTGAAGCTGATCCTTCATCCATGATGGCTGCCAGATGGGGACAATGTTTAACAAAGGACCCTATGGACAATACATACAAATGTCTTCTTTTAGAGAACCACATACTGAATGGATTGAAACCAAACATGGCATGAATGTTCCTTTTGAGGTGCTGGCTAAGTTTTGTTACTTTGAAGCTGATCCTTCATCCATGATGGCCGCCAATGGGGGGACTTCCTTTAACATAAGACCCTATGGGAAATACATACAAATGCTTCTTCTAGAGGTGCACTGAATGGAATGAAACCAAAACATTGGCATAAATGTTTCTTATGAGGTGCTGATTAAGTGTTGCTTCTTTGTTGCTGATTTACTGTTCAAGATGGCCACCAGGATTTTTTATTAAATTACAGGACCAATATTAAACCAAATTTGGCCTCACTCATTATTAGGGTATCTGTTATGATTTTAATCTATTTTTACATGATTTCCCAAACCAAAGTAGAATCAGGTGAGCGACACAGGCTCTTGAGAGCCTCTAGTTCTAGTTTCCAGACAATAACTTGTGTTCAAGCGTATGGATCTCTCTGAAATTGTACTGCAAGGTACCATACCACAAAGGGAAGGCTGGGATTGAGTTTGGGGGTGATGAATCATAAGGGTGTTCAAAAAAATTTGGGGGGGGGGATTTTATTTTTTTCCTTTTTTTCCTTTTTTTTTTTTTTTCTTTTAAAATTTTCCATTTTGAGTTGGTAATTTCTGATTTATATTTAAAAGCAAACAATAATGATATGGTAGGAGATACACACCAAACAGGATGTGTAAATTATTATATAATAAGTATTGTGCAATAGCAAGAAATTTTCAATTGCACAGTATTGCACAATAGCAAGAAATCTTCAATTGCACAGTATTGCGCAATAGCAAGAAATCTTCAATTGCACAGTATTGCGCAATAGCAAGAAATATCCAATAGCACAATATTGCGCAATAGCAAGAAATTGTCAATTGTACAGTGTTGCACAATAGCAAGAAATATTCAATTGCACAGTATTGTGCAAAAAAAAATACTTTGTATAAATTGCTTATTTCTTGACCAATTTCAATGGGGTTTTTTGGCCCCGTTTTTAAATTGGTCCACATTGAGGTCCAAAGGGTCCAAAATTAAACTTTGTTTGATTTCATCAAAAATTGAATTATTGGGGTCCTTTGATATGCTGAATCTAACCGTGTATTTAGATTCTTAATTTTTGGTTCCGTTTTCAAATTGGTCTACATTAAGGTCCAAAGGGTCCAAAATTAAACTTAGTTTGATTTTAACAAAAATTGAATTCTTAGGGTTCTTTGATATGCTGAATCTAAACATGTATTTAGATTTTTGATTATGGGCCCAGTTTTCAAGTTGGTCCAAATCGGGGTCCAAAATTAAACTTTGTTTGATTTCAACAAAAATTGAATATATGGGGTTCTTTGATATGCTGAATCTAACCATGTATTTAGATTTTTGATTTTTGGGCCCCGTTATCAACTTTGTTCACATTGAGGTCAAAAGGGTCCAAAATTAAACTTTGTTTGATTTCATCAAAAATTGAATTCTTGGAGTTCTTTGATATGCTGAATCTAACCATGTATTTAGATTTTGGATATTGGACCATAATAGGTGAATGTCCAATTTAAAATTTTTAAGTTCTTAGACCACATTCATTGTGTCAGAAACCTATGCTGTGTCAAATATTTAATCACAATCCAAATTCAGAGCTGTATCAAGCTTGAATGTTGTGTCCATACTTGCCCCAACTGTTCAGGGTTCGACCTCTGCGGTTGTATCAAGCTGCGCCCTGCGGAGCATTTTATTGTGACATGATTTTGAGTCATGCGGTTTCATCTCGCGTGGTCCGCGTTGATCATTGGCCGTTTATACCTGTTAATTTAATGATTGGATTATTTCCCTTGGTTATTGGTTGGAAAAAAATGGTGGCAAAGTGTTTAATTCATCACACAAGTCACGAATTTCCTTAAAACAGCTGTCATATTCACGATTGTGAACATTGGGATGTATCAGGCAATTGATTTATATTATTGGCAACACTAACTTCGCTTTTGACCTGAATTCAGTTTATTTTTCACTTTTCTACGGAAATAAAATGACTTAGGGTTGGCGCTCAAAAGTAGGGTCGGTCGGGTAACCGTAAACAGATATTTTTTTTTTTGGCCTTATATTCATATTGGCAAGCTATAACATGTGACATGTTCTCAGATCCTTCACATATCTGACAACATATAAGTGAGCAGTAGTTAGTTAAATCCGGTAGTCTAAATAGCTTAATCTTTCAGGTAGTAAGGTAACTTGACAAGATTGTAAGAAAATATACGAGTGTTGGATTGTAGTTTTATTCGTAATAATTATGTGTTGTTTTTTTTTTGTGTTGACAGATGAGTGTTATAATGAGAAAATTGTCAACAGATGATGATGATAAACTTATGGAAGGATTACTGAACCAGTTAGTTAATTTGTTTGCCAAGAGCAATAAATGGTTGGGCAGACAAATGTAAGTGTTTCTAGATATACATGTACTCGAATAATTTATTTTTTTTTTGGGGTGGGGGGGGGTTATGATTGTAATCAAACCCTTATATATACTCAAGATATTCAAGTTACAAAATGATGTGTATGTGTAAAACTGTTCTTGTCAAGAAAATAATTGAGATGTGCATGCTGCATAAATCTCTCTTTTCTATATAAAAAAAAAAGACCACTGTTAAAGGCAATTTATAAAATTTGGAGTTATCTTTCTTCATTCATAGCTGAAGATTTAGGACAGACAAAGGATGATATCTCCAATTCAAAATATCGTTTTTCAATGATTAATACCATGCATGACATTTAGTTCAAAATGGTAAATTTATCTTAACTCTCTAGTAAGATGATTTTAAAATGTTTTAAAGAACAAAAAAAGTTATTGCTGTTTGACAGAACAGATAAAATATGTCCAATGCTGGGGAACTCTGTTCTTTTATTAGTTATGTTTTTGTAAGTTTGTTGCATGAAAATAATCATTGAAATGTACAAATCTTGTTCGATTTTAGATTTGCTCAGCTGACACAAGCCATTATAGATTATAATGCAGTTCCACTTGATAGACTTGTAACCATAATACTCCCTGGATTGTTTGCATTGAGTACAGATAGTGTGCCAAATGTCAGGATATCTGTTGCTAAAGCATTATCCCAGTCATTAATGAATAAAGGTTGGTTATGAAAATAAAGTGGTATGAAATCTTGTATTGGAAAGGTGTTTTTCTCTTGCTTCAGTGAAGTTAAAAAAATAAGCAAGACTGAGGCATGCTGTGTCACGCGAGGTCAACAATTTAATTATAGTTTGTGATTAGGTCAGTTTATTGGGAATCACGTGAAAGGTCAATCATATTTGGTATGCAGTTATAAACTTGTATTGGCACAACTCATTTCCATGGATATCATATGGCCCACCTTCTTGGTCTTGGTCTATTGACTTTGAAACTTTTGCATAGTTTACATGTTAAAAGTTTGTTACTATGTCCGTCTAAGATGATCCCCTTATGGAAAGTCAATGGTATTTGGTATGCAGTTGTATTAGAATTTGTATTTCATTTCCATGGAGGTTACTTTGCCCTGCAACTTTAGTCATGGTTCATTGACTTTAAAACACAGAATCTCACTCAGGCAAGTCCCAGTGGCTAGGAGTGAAAATCTGGACTTGTCATTTGCTTGATCTATGTGATCACTCCAGATTTTGAGATAGTGCTGAATTCTAAGTTGAAGACATATCATGAAACAAATTATGTGTTTTTATAACTTGCAGAAACTTAATACACCATTTTAATCATCCATTGCCAACTGTTGACATGTTATTTGCCCTTAAATTTTGGAAAGATTGGTCAAACAGCTACTTTATTTTAGATATTCACTTGCATATAATTCCTTAATTACTATAAATTAATTAATAACTGATTGCATAATTGAATACACAATTATTGAGGTATTCAATCACTTTTGATCTGCACTACATAAAATAATTCTGTAAGTTATGTCTCTAAGATGAATGATTAAGGATTAAAAAGATGCAATTTTTTTGCAAAGAAAAGATAAAAACTATGTATATTGTCGGTGATTGTCGGAAGTATCTTTGAAGAAGTACTTTTTTCTGAGAATTTCGTGTACGAACTACCCTGCGATCAATTTCACAAAAAGTCTATTAAGAGAAATAATATTTGTTAGTCATGAACATTTAAGTATAACTTAATTTTTATCGCAAGATTTTTTGTGAAAAGACCCTAGCTAATAAAAAATGGCTGTATCATGGCACCCATGATGCTTTGATTAAAACTGGCGAGTCCAATGAAGCATAAATTGTAAAATGTTCATATATAATGGTTTACTTTTATAAATTTTGACTTGGATGGAGAGTTGTCTCATTGGCACTCATACCACATCTGATATCTATCATCAACTGAACACATAGCATCATAGGTAGCTTATTGAAGGCTGTAAAACAATCACGGGCTGTTCCATAAAAACATATGTGGTACCCAGGGAAGGCAATTTCATTGTGGGATAACCACCTATAGAGGAAAATTTTGAATTTAAGTACTTTTCCACTGTACTTGACACCCACCCATAGGAGAGATTTCAAAGTGTCTTCCCTGGGTCCCATGCATGTTTTTATGAAACAGCCTTAGAATAGTATTCAAGTAGTATGTTCAAAAAGGTGACCTACAAGGAAATTATTCTGTTTAGGAACAAGTGTTTTCTTCTGAAGAGAAAGGAGTTGTTGGGAATTTGATCCAAGAGTGAATACATATTACAGTGTTTAGTCTAAAAAAAAATTTGATTTTAAAGGATGTTCATTAAATCATTTCAATTGTAGCTTTCTTCTTTACTGAAAAGAATCCATGTTGTGAAGAATTGAAAAAGGTCATAGAACAATTACAAAATGACCAAGACCGTGATGTTCGATATTTCTCTAGTCCAGTGTCGGAGACCACATATGAAGAGGAAGACCAAGAAGAACAAGATCCTCTGTCTGAGGAAGACAAGGCCAAGAATAAATATATGTCTGTGTAGGGGAACTAAAGTAGGGTAGGTATTAACTGTCTAAATTTTTTAGGATTGAGAAATATTGTCAAACACTGATTTATGTTTCTTCACAATTTCTTGGTATGCTATTCTTGGCATCTGTGATTTTCTTTTTTTTTCGGTATACTCTTGAGAAAGTAGATATTTGACACTGAACTTAAAACTTACAATTTTCTGAATAATAAAGAAGACATGTCACAAAAGCTAAAAAAAAGTTTTATTAAATATAAAGGTTTCTGGTCAAAGATAAGTTTAAGCAAAGAAGCAGTTGTTGCCACTGCTTTGAATGTGACTCATTTTTAGTTGCTTTTTTTTTCATAGATGAGTCCTGTTAACTTATTTGTCTAGACTATACATTGATTAAACATATTTTATTACCACACAACCTACATAATAGTAAATGGAAAAATTTGCTGGTTTTGAGAACTATTCCTTTTGCATAATTTTTCATCATATACAAAAATGTTGGAAATCTTGAATAGTTTTCAAAAACAAAATAAAAATATTGAAAAGTTTGGTATTTTTTATTAGACAGAAGATTACCGAAAATTTTGGTTCATCATTGAAGTTCTTTGTTGGTAGTGCATGCAACATAGATAACAGATAGATTTTTTTGAGAGGTCTATAGAAAATGTCATTTTTCTTTCCTTTTGATGTATATCATGAAAAAATTAATTGTAATGAAATTTGCATTATGCGTCTTTTATTTTTCAGTTACCACTGAGACATAGGAAGATTAATTGAAGTGCTCAGGGACTGGAGTTTGTTATGCAATAACCTTTCCATGAAAGGAGCAATTCAAGAGTGATCAAAACTTATTTGTTGAAACAAAAATACTGAATCATGAAATGTTTTATAATGACTATAATATTTATTAACAGAGGATTTTATTTATTGAATTGTTTTATTTTTAGGGAGATCTGTTATGAAAGCTGTGATTTTATGATATGGTATTTCTTTTTATATGCAGATTTTTTGTTATGTGATATTTTATCTGCCATAATTCTGTGATGATCACAGTTTTTCCAATATATTGTTATTTAAATGATATTTCCATCGGACATGTCATTGTTGATCCAGATCATGTAATACTAAAAGTACACTTGTATCCTTATGATTTATACAGAGGGCGAAATATTTTAAAATAAGATCGAAGTTTTGTAAGTGCTAAGAAATGTATCTTGCCAAGTTCTGTGATCTAGTTAGATGGTAGAAAGTGAAATATTAATATTATAAAGAAGATTTCTTCAATAGTTTGTAGTTTGGACATTATAAAAATAACTTGTTAATCAAGGATTGGGAAAGGGAGGTGGTTAAAATGAATTGGTTAAATACTACAATTTATTTTAAAAAAAAGTTGAGAAAGTTTTTGTTCAGTTTTATTGTTTGTGATCAAAAGCTTATAACACTTGTGTGTTGTCTACTCACATGTTAAAATATGCACTTGTGTATATGCTTGTTTATGAATGGATAAAATAACAACCAGTAAATCCATGGAAATTCAGTACATTTCCATATAGGGGGGTAGTTCGAACACTGCATCATAATATTAAAGATTTAGAAATGAGATGTTTCATAATATGAAAAGTGTTTGCTCCCTTTGATTGGATTTTAATTGACCCTATGGTTATTTCTTTCCTTTTTTATAGTGTTGTAAAAAATGGTCTTTATTCAATTACAGCTTTTCTATCTGAATGGATTATCAATTGAAAGTTGATATATAGAAATAATGTAATCTTTTAATTGGTCCTGTCTTATTCTTACATGAAGATGTCCTATTTTAAATGTTAATCATGCTATTGAAATTTTAAGACTTGCATGGCTCGTTCATGTACAAACGTAGAATAAAACAATTAATGTCTGAATAAATTTAAGAAAATTTTATGGAATTTTTTCTTCATTTTGTTTTAATGAATACATCATACATGTAGCTTATTTTTATATTACTCACTTGAAATTATTTTTCTCTTGAATGGAGTCGATAAGCATTAAGATACTAGTATAATTTCCTTTTATGTGAACATTTTAATATTAAATTGGATAGTATTTTAAGCATGACAAATATAAATTTGAACAAAAAAGGAATAAACGTTCTATTACAGTATGTGTTGGGAAATATCTATAATGATTATGTGATATTCATAAGTTCAAACATGACAAATAATTTATTGTTTCTTCTTTGTAATCTACATTTAAAACTTGCTGTCATAAGTTTTATATAGAAGCTCGAGTCCAAACTGCCATATGCATATGCTATTGCATAACACATGAAATCCTCACAAATTTTGTGCAATTTTTTTGTATCTTTTGATTATCTTCATTAAGTTTAAGAAAATTTCAGCTTTCATTCATGAGTAGTACAATTCCTTGTGAGGTTTCAATGTAAGTTTCTAATGTCAGAAACAATATATTTCTGATGTGCAGTGAATAGTCTTAATTCCAATGTTACTAAATGGGCAAACAATATTTTTGTCATACAACATTTTGAAGATATTTATTTAAAGATGATATTTTTTACTAGCACACATGAAAAGGCAGGGTAGTAAAACGATTATTTAAATTAGGACCAATTGTTATGCAGTTTGTATTTATATTGAAACAAATTATTTGAAATAAAAGAAATGAAAATGAATACAAAGTGGTAATTGTCATTTTTTTTTTTTTGTGGAAGACCGGTTAATTGCTCTTCCCTACAACAAAGTTAAGTTAATTACTGACATATATTCAAAAGGGTTTGTCTTTGCACAAAACCATTTTGCAAAAAAAAAAAAAAAAATCAATTACAGTTGGAACTCCTCTGTAAACCGATCAACTGGAAAAATATTTGAGCTCATTGCTGAAGTCCCATGATTGTTCGCAGGCCTCTACAATAACTTTTTTTCCAACTTGTCCAGTAGGACAAGTACATACCAAAACTTACTTGTCCGAATGAAATTGTAACTTGTCCAACAAAAATCTTAATAATAACCTTTTTCGCATTTTAAGTTGATTCAAGGAACAAAATGAATTAAAACAATAGAACAGAATTTGATTTATATCTTTTGAAATACCTTTTAAAAATATGAGTCGAGAACAACTGAATCTAGTCATGTCACAGGACTTAGGTTCTAGTTTTCATCAATGCCAAAGTCTTATCAGACTCTACACATGAGGCACCGTCTGATAGGCCTGTCAATTTCCACTCATTGGATTTGTATCCTGGTTTTTTAAGTTGAAAAAAGTTTATTCAAATTCAATCAATAAAAAAAAGAAGATGAGGTATGATTGCCAATGAGACAACTCTCTGCAAGAGACCAAATGACACAGAAATTAATAACTATAGGTCACCGTATTGCAAGTATTGTTTTTTCTTCTATATATGATCAAATGATTTGGGAATTTTATGGTAAATAATTTCTTCATTTTTATTTAAAAAAATATTTTTGTTAACAAAATTATGGTATGGTATTTATTATAAAGCAACAGAATAAGGTAGGAAAACCAGGTACTGATTTGTCTTGGTCTCGAAATGTCTCCTGTCTCCTGCAAGACATACGGTGCCAAACTGTCTATTAAACTTGGAGCCGAATCGTTTCCGAGCTGGTGACGAACTGTCTTGTAAAGTTACCTTATCTACAAAGCGCATCGCTGATTCGGATCAGTAAGACTGGTTTCCGAGAATAGTATGCCTTTTACCTGTTAAAAAGTACCTGACAAAGAACAAGTTTTAAATTATCGATTGCAAGTAAACATGTCAAATTAATACTTGTGTTTATCTTCTTTTCTTGTTTCTTGTTTTTTGTTTATAATTACTTTGTTCATCAAAGTTGGATTAAATTTATTTTCTGCATAATAATTTAACTTGTCCCGTCGGACAAGCTTGATAAAGCTTTTACTTGTCCGACCTTTTTTTCCTCTGGTACCGGACAATCAGACAAGCGTTATTGTCGAGCCCTGGTTCGATTGCTCCTTAGAAGCAAGTCGAGTGTAATCAAAATTATTCTTACCATCCAAATCCTGTGCAGGCCAAGTTGAAAGGAACACCAATTTATAAACTGTTTGATCTATCATCTCCCTTTGTAATGACATTTTTGTCGAGCCAGCTACTTTCGTCACAGAAAGCTCGACATAAGTATAGTGATCTGGCGGCGGCGTTGGCTTACTTCTTAAAAGCTTTATATTTTAGAAGGTGGAAGACCTGGATGCTTCATACTTTGTATATAGATGCCTTATGTTACGAAGTTTCCGTCTGTCACATGTCCATTGTCCTTGACCTCATTCTCATGGTTCAGTGACTACTTGAAAAAAAAGTTGTGATTTTTTGTAATGTTAATTTCTCTTTTTATTATGAGTAATAGAATAACTATATTTGGTATGTGCGTACCTATCAAGGTCCTCATGCCTGTCAGACAGTTTTCACTTGACCTCGACCTCATTTCATGGATCAGTGAACAAGGTTAAGTTTTGGTGGTCAAGTCCATATCTCATACTATAAGCAATAGGTCTAGTATATTTGGTGTATGGAAGGATTGTAAGGTGTACATGTCAAACTAGCTGGTATCATCTGACCTTGACCTCATTTTCATGGTTCAGTGGTTATAGTTAAGTTTTTGTGTTTGGTTTGTTTTTCTTATACTATATGAAATAGATCTACTATATTTGGTGTATGGAATGATTGTAAGGTGTACATGTCCAACTGGCAGGTGTCGTCTGACTTTGACCTCATTTTCATGGTTCAGTGGTCAAAGTTAAGTTTTTGAGTTTTGGTCTTTTTTCTTATACTATATGCAATAAGTCAACTATATTTGGTGTATGGAAATATTCTATAATGTACATGTCAGTCTAACAGGTTTTATTTGACCTTGACCTCATTTTCACGGTTCATTGCTCAGTGTTAAGTTTATGTGTTTGTCTGTTTTTCTTTAACTATAAGCAATAGGTCAGCTATATTTGTTGTATGGAAGGATTGTAAGCTGTTCATGTCTGCCTGGCATGGTTCATCTGACTTTGACCTCATTTTCACGATTCATTGGTCAATGTTTAGTTTTCTTGGTTAAGTCTGTTTTTTAGAAACTAAGCAATAGGTCAACTATATTTAGTGTATTGAATAATTGTAAGGTGTACATGTATTTCTCGTTTGGTTTAAATTATATGACCTTGACTTCATTTTCTTGGATCATATTAAGTGTATGTAATAGTTGTAGTAAAGCTTTCATTTAGGACTATCAACATAATATCAATGGTTAGTAAAGAAGGCGAGACATTTCCGCGTGTGCACTCTTGTTAAAGTTTTTGTTTGTTTTATATATCCGTAGAACAGTAATTATGATTTAAAAAAAAATATTCAAATTACAACTACACAACATCTTGTTAGAATACAAGGCAATTTGGTATTGTGAAAGGACAGGGTCTTTTGAATATATATGTGTACTTTGTGTTTAATAGTAGATGATTAGGAAGTACTTATGGTTTCTAGTAGAAACCATATGCAGAATGAGCATCTGGATCCAGATGGCCTGATGCCTAATAGATAAAGGGGTCCAGCAAATGTAGTCATTTGCAAAATCAAAATCAGTTATCAAGGAATATGAAACTTGACACGAGATTTGTCTCTCTTTTGTGGAAAATCACTTCAAAACGGGAAATTTGTCAGATTATATATCTTTCAATGAAAATTAATCTTGCCATTCCTGTCATAAGCATTAATGGAAAAGAGATGTCAATGTCAGTAAACATTCTAAAATTATACCTAAAAAAAAGAAAAACCATTTGGACGAAAGAATACATAAGAAGCAGAGGATACAAATGGGACAATCTAAATTCACAACTCTGCAAAAGGCCAACAACATCGTGGCAAAAGACGGGATGGTCTACAAAACAATACATAGAAAACTAAAGACTGATCAACACAAACCAAGACTATAATTAGAGCAAGATTGTGAAAAGGAAATTAACCATTTGTGTCTGCAACCATTTATCTTCAGTGTCGTCAAAATTAAGCCATCATGGAGGAATTAGAAAAACAATATACCTAGCTGGACCATTGAAATTTCTCAAAAAAAAAACTACCATTTTCAAAGTATTTTTATGCCCCTGCCGTAGCGGTGGGGGCATTAAGTTTTACCCTTGTCTGTACGTACGTAAGTCCCAAAATTTGTTTCTGTTCTCTAACTTGAGTTTGCCTCAACCAAATGTTATGAAACTTATACACAATGCTAATACCACAAAATACAGATCAAGTTTGAATTTTGGTGGCATCACTCTAACCGTTCTAAGAGTTATGCCCATTTATAAATGGAACAAATTGCAAATTTTTAGTTTCTTCTAAATATCAAGTAATTTTTATTTGTAAACTCTTAATCTTGGTCCTTATTTATTGGTACCAGGTTTCATAATGAGGAACAAGGATATACTTTTTAGATGACTTTATTTGGTAGATTGTTTTGTTTTTGTTGCCTGCGACAAAATCACAGAATGTGAGCCAAAATGATTACAATTGGGCGATGATGTAAACTATTTGTATAAATCTTTATATTTCAGAAGTTTGAATAACTGGTTGCTTCATACCTTGTATACAAATTCCATTATTATACGAAGTTTCCATCTGACACATGTCTAATGTCCTTTACCTCATTATAATGGTACAGTGACTGCTTGAATGATTTTTTTTTAAAGTGAAATACTCATTTATGAGTAAAAGGATAACTGTATTTGGTATATGGGTTCCTTGCATTATTTACATGTCCGTCAGGTAGAGTTTACCTTACCTTGACCTCATTTCATGGATTAGTGATCAAGGTTAAAGTTACGTGGTCAAGTCCGTATCTCGGATACTTTAAGCATTAGGTCAATTATATTTGGTGTATGGTATGATTATAAGTTGAACCTTATTCTCCACACTTACTTAATCGGGCAGTATATATTGATGCCGGAGTCTGTCTGTCCGTTCGTCCGTCTTTTTGACCCACTTGTTTCCGCAACTGATCATGAAAGACTTGACAGAATTTTCGGAAACTTTCATATAGGCATTCCATCTTAATTTTTTAAAAGTCCAAAAAGGAACAGCAAAATGGTGTCAATAAATAGCATTTTCGCTTTTTGTGGATGTGAAGTTAAACATGGATGCAATTTAGGTACTCCTCATTACAGAATCTTGGGTCGTTTGGAGGTTGGTTCAAACCCATTTTTCTGTGATTCAGTGTGGATTAAAATTTTATTTTGTGGAACTATATAGTAATTTAGTATACCTATACAAAATAAACATAGCATGGAAACTTTTGTCTGGATCTTAAGTAAACGTAGGGGGAGGGGGCTGTCAAAAGAGGTGCCTTTTGGGTACTCTCACGTTAATACTATCATGGTAAAACTAACCTTTAATTATTTCGAAGAAATAATCTGGTTAAGTCAGCTCTTGTTTAATCCTTATTATCATTGGCAGGCCAATAGCACTTGTGGGAAGTTATGCCCGTCTGACATTTGTCATATGTCTGAAACCAAAATTTGTCAAGATGTGCGTTTTCCACCAGAGGGTTAGTGTAATTTCATAACTTGACGTCTGTCATTGTTTATCAACTGATGAGAAATTCTTTAAAAAAAAAAAAAAGAAGAAAAATGACGTTTGATATACATTGGGAAAATGTAGTAATGTTCTCATTTGCAGATAGAAAAGGTTTTGGAAATAGTATACCTTCTTTGCTATGAACAAGCAGTCCCGATTTCAAGAGAAAAAAGAATAAAAATAAATAAAATGAGAGCATGAAATATTTATTCTTGAAGACCATAAGTTGACCTCTAGACGCATGTCTATTTGTTGTTGTTTTTTTTTTTTGCGTCGTTATGTTATTGTTTCATTGAAAAACTGTTTTTCTTTGTAAAGTCACAACAGAAAACTTCTTGGTTGCTTTCGGACAAAAAGTAATAATAAATAAATGTTTTTAATTATTTTTTTTCCGAATTACAAAATTCATTTTGTTTCCGATGCTTTGATGTAGCTGACCAAAGCCATAATGCCATCCATCATTTCCTCACAAGTTGGGGTTATCTGGTTTTGTGGTAAGAGAAAACCATACTTGTCTTTATCTCTCAGTTCAACAGTATAAGTATATTTGATCCCAGCTTGTCCTTTGACATAATCCAAAGAAATACCTTCAGCAGCATCTGAAAATTACATAGACTTTGATCATACAGTTGATCGGCCAAATGTTTAAAAAGGAACGTCATTTCATATTCCGTTATGATATACATCTGTCATTCGAGCTTCATATGGGATCTGCTTGTGTGTCGGCATTGGGGATATAGCATGCACATATTTAAAGAATATAAGTGGGTTTTATCCGAAGGAAGAATCTATAATATATTTTAAATATAGAAATAAAGGGGAAGATGTTAAAAGGCCTTTTTGTATACCTACGAATTCGAAAATAACTGTTGTAAAACTTTCTATTATCATTTTTCAGACGATGTGACAAAAGACAAAAGTTTCTTTATCTAACAAGATAATGGTGTCACTGTGACATCAATATTGTCTTTTTAAAAATCCACAATATTTACTTTTCAAAATGAGATGTGGGGTATAGAATGTTGAAGGATATGAGAATTTTGTTCCTCACATTACCTCCTTCTTTGCTTAGAATATTTATCCGTCAGAATTGAATACAGTCTATATGGAATTGTATCTAAATATGTACTAACTGGTCTTATAGATGGAAAGTTCAAGGCAGTAAAATATTTTTTCAAAATTTTCACCTTAAGATTTCAAGACAGTAAAATATTTTTTTTTTTAAGTTTTCACTTTTGAGATTTAAAATTTCCAGAAATAAACTATTCTCGTCGATATGAAAAACGCACATTCGACGAATTTAGGTGTAATTTACCATTTTAGTGGCGGATTCCGATAGGCCAGATATGTTTTGATGTGCCTGCCAGAACGGAAAGTTATACTTAATGAAAATTTAAAGACCACAAAATTAAAAAAAAAAGGGGATGTCGACAGGGCTAACTCACCTGCCGTGCTAATAGGATGTCGACAGGGTTAAATCATCTGCCGTGCTAATAGGATGTCGCCAGGGTTAACTCACCTGCCGTGCTAATAGGATGTCGACAGGGTTAATTCACCTGCCGTGCTAATAGGATGTCGACTGGGTTAACTCACCTACCGTGCTTATAGGATGTCGACAGGGTTAACTCACCTGCCGTGCTAATAGGATGTCGACAGGGTTAACTCACCTGTCGTGCTAATAGGATGTCGACAGGGTTAACTCACCTGCCGTGCTAATAGGATGTCGACAGGGTTAACTCACCTGCCGTGCTAATAGGATGTCGACAGGGTTAACTCACCTGCCGTGCTAATAGGATGTCGACAAGGTAAATAGGGTTTATTGATTGACTGATTTTTTCTTAAAGTCAAATTGCAAATATTCACTTTTAGTTAGGACGAGGGTTAAGTAAGACATATCCGTCATGGGCGATCAGGTTGGCAACAAGGTAAGCACGACTCACTTTCCATGCAATCAAGGCGTCATTTGGATAAGCACGATCTGTTCGCTCTGTGCACTGTCAGAGTGTTGACTGGATAATAAGCATGACCCGCCCGTTTTATGTAATAATTTACATGTAGGGTAATTATGCTTCTTTTAAGATCCCATTGATTTAGTCGAGTATACTTCCTTTTTTTGGTGAAATTGCAATAAAGAGATAATGCTCTGGTAGATAATACCCACCGAAGTATATAAAAGCCAAAGACGGGGCGGGGAGCAATGGTATATATTTGCGGTTCAGGAATGGGATTTTCACAAAAGAAAACATTGGAATTTACCCACAGTTAAAATGTTCTTTCCTGGAAAAAAAAAAGATATTTTTCCCAAATATTGTTTGAATAGTACCCTCGTTATAAGATAGATCTTGTTTAAGATATATATATTTTCGAGCATCAAACATGAAATCATTTTCGTCCAATCAAAGAAAAGATCGTCGTCATCCATTCTATTACCTTTGGTTTGATGTGAGGGGGTTGGGTTCTGATATTGTACGATGACACGTTAGCCAGACATTATAAACCGCGCATGCGTTTTGTAGCGATTTATCCAAATACAAAATATACACCCCACCCTAACAATATCTGCAAATGATCTCAGTTGGTCTGTTGAAGATGCTATCTTGTTGAAACTGTATTGAATTCCATTCCTTTAAATAATATTCGGGATGAAAATGACTTTGAGTGAAGTTGTTATGGTTGGAGGTCAGAGAAAAGGATATTTATGCACGCCTTTGGTGATTCCTCCATAGTTAAGTGTCTTAAAGGTCAAAGGGTAAAATAAATTGCGTCGATAAAAGAAATGAGAACTCTCCGAGTATAAATGTAAGAAATATAACTTACATAGTGCGTTATAAACAGAGCCCACTGTATAATCCGTGTTGTATTTTTGTTTAAGGGCTTCTGTTGCTATAAAAGCTCCCAAGTCCTAAAACATAAAAATGACACCCATACATTTTTATAAAATTTAAACAAAGTATATTTTTCTTACAATGTATTTTAAAAAGCTGAAAATACATTAACTATTTTCAGTGCTGGTCCTCTTATTGATGTGTCAGTTTCATTAAATGAACCTGGACAGTGGTTATCTTTATTAGTGATGATGGCCGAGCTTGGTAGTTTCTGTAAAATCAACTCACAAGTTATCTCGAATCATGGCTTTTTAGAGTGTGAGATCTGGTATATACACTTGTCTAGTGTAGTTGTTGCCCGCGAGATGTAGATATCTTTTAGATTTGGTTTATGTTGTTGGGATGATGTCTCACTGATGAATACCCCCAAATCCCCTGTTATTCATAATCTAGTTTATAACGACGATTTTGATTGGGTGAGTCAGATATTCTGTCTTGTGACATGAATGGTTTTCCTGTCCGAATTATCTACGCAATCGTCACCATATGTAACAAAATCATTTAAAAGGCACAGTTTAAACGGATAGTAGCTACGATTTTCATTAAAATTATTTTTCTAATCTATATGCCGGATTTTGTACAAAAGGTTTATTTAGAATGAATAAAACCATCACTGTTTACTTTCCAATTAGCATTTAGAAGCATTTTAACGTTTTACACCTGAATTTAATTTTTGTCTATAGACAAAAATTCGATGTTAAGCCAACCCTTATTCATATGACCTATGTTGACCTTAACTCCGCAGTTCCCAATGCGCAATCGCAAGTTGTCCCTCGAAGGGAAAATGTCGAACAGAGGAATGTTATCGCGGAAATGGAACGTGTGTTTACAGTTTCTGCGAGAAAAAGAAACAGTAAAGAGGTGCAGACAAGTTATTGTAAATTGAAAATAAATAACGGCGATGAGAACGGTCATTTAGAATCATTTACAAACACCCGTCACGTAGAGAAAGTCATTATATAAGCAGTCGACATTACGACGGTTTGCGAAATGTAAAAAACATTTCTGAACTTTTCGAATCCAGATCACATTAAAATAAATCGCGACGTGTTCAAATCATTATTGTCCAAAATATCTTTATAATTTTAAGAGCAGTGATCTCACAACTTAGAAGACATTAAAAATCAACTTCTTACAATTTAATATTATTCTTCCGGTGTACCCTGCATGAAGGCCCCAATTCAATTTACAAACACGTGTATACGTTATCGGCATTGTTTTGTCATACAAATATAAAACAAGTGTATAATATCGCCATTGTTGGAGAACCTTGGGTTCGAGTAATATGCAGGCATTTGGTATATTTTGTTGATTACATAATTTGATAAATGGTTTCAAATATGTATGTTTAATCTAGAGAAATTGTCAAATACGTAAGAAAACAAAAGCACGTGTTCATATTTATTTATAACTTGGTCATCTCACTCGCTGTGTCGGCAAAGTTCGGGAAGTAAACCCGATGCATAATTAATGAGATGAAAAGGCACGCTATACGTTATTAATTATCAATTATTAACACTTCTGTACTTTATATAAACATTCCACCGATCTTATTGTTAATTTAAAGTACATATCTTTGATTTCAGCAGCTTTAAAACTTGGTCATTATTTTGTCAAAATCGTAGCTACTATCCCTTTAAGTTATTGTATTAGAATAGGTATAACCGTAATGCATATAATTAATTTCAAAAGTAAATTTTAAAATTTACTGTCGCAAATATCCGTCTTTCGGGTTTGCTAACTCGCTTGAAAACTTAATTTGCGACTGTAAAATACTAGTGTCAAGCTATCCAGCAATTCTCATCCTGCAATTCTCTTTATAAAAATCTATCCTGCAATTCGTCATCCTGCAATTGCGTTTGGAAAACTACTTGAGCGACAATTTTATTTTTCTTTAAAATCATAGTTTTTGAGTTTTTTGTTCGAAAACAAGATTTATATACAAAATCAAAGATTTGTATATCCCATTAACAAAATTCTAAATTTAGTTTGCAAATTTCTAACTCATATTTACGGTTTTGTAATTAGCATTTACAATAATATCATGATGACGATTCACACAAAGTATTATCTTTTAATAAGTCAAGGATATGATTCGTATAAACCCATGTTTAACCCCAATTTGCGATTTTCGAAACTCATATTAACGACTAAAAATATAGAATTTTGATGTAAAATAATTTTTTTCATGGTATACCTACAACACAACTTCTATTTGAAACTGGGTCACCCACTTGTTCAAAACGATTGCCCCGGTAGTTCTTTATGCCTAGGGATTATAGATTCTGCTCTAATAAGTAGCTTTTGTGTAGTACTACAAAGAGGGGTCAAAGAATTTCTGGGGTAAGCATTCCTAGAGGACGAAAATTGCGTCCGAAACACGGAAATAAAGCCAAATTCGGTAAAATACGCATTGGGGGCACCCACTTTCCGACGCATTGTCTCGGTAGTTCTTTATGACTAGGCATTATAGACGCTGCCCTAAGGAATAGCTATTGGATAGTACTACAACGTGAGGGTGAAGAATTTCTGGGGTAAGCATTCTTAAAGGCCGAAAATTTCGTCTGTAACACGGAAAAAAAGTCATATTTGATATAATATGCACTGGGGTCACCTACTTGTTCAAAACCATTGCCCCGGTAGTTCTTTATGCCTAGGGATTATATATTCTGCTCTAATAAGTAGCTTTTGTGTAGTACTACAAAGAGGGGCCAAAGAATTTCTGGGGTAAGCATTACTAGAGGACGAAAATTGCGTCCGAAACACGGAAATAAAGCCAAACTCGGTAAAATACGCATTTGGGGCACCCACTTTCCGACCCATTGTCTCGGTAGTTCTTTATGGCTAGGCATTATAGACGCTGCCCTAAGGAATAGCTATTGAATAGTACTTCAACGTGAGGGTGAAGAATTTCTGGGGTAAGCATTCTTAAAGGCCGAAAATTTCGTCCGTAACACGGAAAAAAGTCATATTTGATATAATATGCACTGGGGTCACCTACTTGTTCAAAACCATTGCCCCGGTAGTTCTTTATGCCTAGGGATTATAGATTGTGCTCTAATAAGTAGCTTTTGTGTAGTACTACAAAGAGGGGCCAAAGAATTTCTGGGGTAAGCATTCCTAGAGGACGAAAATTGCGTCCGAAACACGGAAATAAAGCCAAACTCGGTAAAATACGCATTGGGGCACCCACTTTCCGACCCATTGTCTCGGTAGTTCTTTATGGCTAGGCATTATAGACGCTGCCCTAAGGAATAGCTATTGAATAGTACTACAACGTGAGGGTAAAGAATTTCTGGGGTAAGCATTCTTAAAGGCCGAAAATTTCGTCCGTAACACGGAAAAAAGTCATATTTGATATAATATGCACTGGGGTCACCTACTTGTTCAAAACCATTGCCCCGGTAGTTCTTTATGCCTAGGGATTATAGATTGTGCTCTAATAAGTAGCTTTTGTGTAGTACTACAAAGAGGGGCCAAAGAATTTCTGGGGTAAGCATTCCTAGAGGACGAAAATTGCGTCCGAAACACGGAAATAAAGCCAAACTCGGTAAAATACGCATTGGGGGCACCCACTTTCCGACCCATTGTCTCGGTAGTTCTTTATGGCTAGGCATTATAGACGCTGCCCTAAGGAATAGCTATTGAATAGTACTACAACGTGAGGGTAAAGAATTTCTGGGGTAAGCATTCTTAAAGGCATAAAATTTCGTCCGTAACACGGAAAAAAAATCATATTTGATATAATATGCACTGGGGTCACCTACTTGTTCAAAACCATTGCCCCGGTAGTTCTTTATGCCTAGGGATTATAGATTCTGCTCTAATAAGTAGCTTTTGTGTAGTACTACAAAGAGGGGCCAAAGAATTTCTGGGGTAAGCATTCCTAGAGGACGAAAATTGCGTCCGAAACACGGAAATAAAGCCAAACTCGGTAAAATACGCATTGGGGGCACCCACTTTCCGACCCATTGTCTCGGTAGTTCTTTATGGTTAGGCATTATAGACGCTGCCCTAAGGAATAGCTATTGAATAGTAATACAACGTGAGGGTGAAGAATTTCTGGGGTAAGCATTCTTAAAGGCCGAAAATTTCGTCCGTAACACGGAAAAAAGTCATATTTGATATAATATGCACTGGGGTCACCTACTTGTTCAAAACCATTGCCCCGGTAGTTCTTTATGCCTAGGGATTATAGATTCTGCTCTAATAAGTAGCTTTTGTGTAGTACTACAAAGAGGGGTCAAAGAATTTCTGGGGTAAGCATTCCTAGAGGACGAAAATTGCGTCCGAAACACGGAAATAAAGCCAAACTCGGTAAAATACGCATTGGGGGCACCCACTTTCCGGCCTTTGTCTCGGTAGTTCTTTATGGCTAGGCATTATAGACGCTGCCCTAAGGAATAGCTATTGAATAGTAATTCAACGTGAGGGTAAAGAATTTCTGGGGTAAGCATTCTTAAAGGCCGAACATTTCGTCCGTAACACGGAAAAAAGTCATATTTGATATAATATGCACTGGGGTCACCTACTTGTTCAAAACCATTGCCCCGGTAGTTCTTTATGCCTAGGGATTATAGATTCTGCTCTAATAAGTAGCTTTTGTGTAGTACTACAAAGAGGGGCCAAAGAATTTCTGGGGTAAGCATTCCTAGAGGACGAAAATTTCGTCCGAAACACGGAAATAAAGCCAAACTCAGTAAAATACGCATTGGGGGCACCCACTTTCCGACCCATTGTCTCGGTAGTTCTTTATGGCTAGGCATTATAGACGCTGCCCTAAGCAATAGCTATTGAATAGTACTACAACGTGAGGGTGAAGAATTTCTGGGGTAAGCATTCTTAAAGGCCGAAAATTTCGTCCGTAACACGGAAAAAAGTCATATTTGATATAATATGCACTGGGGTCACCTACTTGTTCAAAACCATTGCCCCGGTAGTTCTTTATGCCTAGGGATTATAGATTGTGCTCTAATAAGTAGCTTTTGTGTAGTACTACAAAGAGGGGCCAAAGAAT